AAATAGGGAAGAGAATTTTATCACTTATGGTGAAAATTTGGAAATATTTACCAATAAACTTTTTGAACACCTAAACTGAGGCCTTGAATGTCGATAAAACAACTTTTGAACAAGAGCTATAGTCCGTTTGGCTCAAAAGCGGACCGATGAACTGCAATCTAACTCGAAAACTTATTAACATAAAATACTCAATGAAACACTGATCATAATGAAAACATCAGACCAACTCTGAGAGGTTTTTACAGAATGTATGTCCTAAAAATAGAAAAGTTGTTTAACAAACTATCATTAAAATATCGACACAGTTCACTATTTGTTACGAGGGGTTGAGTGCAGAGAAAGGGACAGCCTGGTGTGCGAGAAAGGATGGAGACAGCACAGCACAGGTTAATGAATCAATAACGTTGTCGGCACTTGTGCACGTGCTTCTCTAACACCTGGCTGTCCCTTTCTCTGCACTCCTCCCTCGTAACAAATAGTGAACTGTGTCAATATTTTAATGATAGTTTGTTAAACAACTTTTTTAATTTTAGGACATAAATTCTGCAAACAAATCACAGAGTTGGTCTGATATTTTGATTATGATCAGCGTTTCATTGAGTATTATATGTTTATTAGTTTTTGAGTTAGATTGCAATTAATCGGTCTGCTTTTGAGCCAAACGCACTATATATGGAGCTCTGTTAAGTCTTTGTTGTTAGCCTGGCGTACATCAGGAGTTGTAGGGAATGTAGCACTAAAGGATGTAACTGATGGAATGTTGCTTGACTATATGTACAAGCGTACCATTTAAAAGTTGAAATCATTTGCTTGTCAAACAGTCTTGTGGAGATATTTTTGTCACTTTGTGCTTACATCTACACATGAAACAGACCGACGTGGTGGTCGCAATGATCTCTTCCATTTCTACTTCAGCTGGGTAAATAAGTGGAATTGAAGTGGTCCTTTCAGATCAGCAATATACCTGTAGCTTAAGTAAACTACAGTAGACTTCAGTTATGATGAAATAGGGGCCACTAATTTTTGTTCATTATAGATGTGGGGTGGTGGGATATGTGGTTAAAGCATCGTCCCTACATAGGTACAATGTGTGAAGCCCTTTTCTGGTGTTTCCGGCTGTGATATTGGTGGAATATTGCTTAAAGCGGTGTAAAACTAAACTTAACTCACTCACTCTTCATAGTTTGTTTTAAGCATTGTGACTGAAATATATAGCAAGTGGCCATGGCTGAAAAAAGAGTTTGATATCTGTCAGTTTGTGAAAACCAGCAGGCTTGTCACCTAACTGTCAAAATGTTCTAGCAGCCTGACCAGGGCTTCTCACAATAATGTGTTGAGCAGTGCATAGTATTTGTGTTCAGTAGATCATCAGCCACATTCATGTAAGTGGGTTTATCTCATATAATGGGATTCAATGACTGTCTAACAATATTTTACATCACTCGGCCAGCTTTTTCAGCTACTGAATGTCAATATCATGACTTTCTCTGCATTGTACATCCAAATTTGCTATTAGCAGCCTTCACTGGCTGAAATGTCACAAATGGTCCAATAATTTTTTTCAAACATATTAGTCATAGTTCTGAAAATACCAAAGATGTTATTCCTTCAAATGACTCGACATCCATAAGTTATGTTAGTGAAAGTGAAAATATACATTCAGATGTTGAAACGAAAATCAGTTTATTCTCAGAGTATTTAGACCAGATAATTTGGTAAATTATTGCTGTTTATAGAAATCAAAAGCCACAAACATTTCTCAGCCTAATATCAATGGCAAAAACGAAAATAGAAGACAGTCCACATGACCCTGGGTCGATGACAGACTTTGATATTGCTTGTTATATCCGACTATTTAATAGCAACAGTGTATATCAGTGAAACAGTCCAATGAATGTTTCTTTTATATTGTTTAAGGTATATAACTCCCTATTGTTTGCCCAGATAATATGGACTTAGGTACTGGTGTGATTTAGGTATTGAAATCAGCTCTGCACAACATGTTAGTCACAGTTTATCAGGCATTAAGTTCCAGTCAGACCAGCTTAATCATTGTATTTTCATGATAATGAATTATTGTACACAAAGATATGCAATAAAGGTGATCAGCATTATGCTTTATATGATCACCATATTAATATTTCCCTAACATGACTACCTCATAATAAGCTAATATCTTGCATTTCTTATTAAGTCAATATGGTATACACAACCTGGCCATTTGTGAAGAGCTTATGTGAAAATCCTTTCTCCTTCATTGGACAATACTTCCTTTCCCTTCAAGGTGCTGGTCAACGACTAATTGTGATAGTGACCTGTGGTGAATGGACAGTGTTTATACTGGGACGTGTTTCTGTTGTAATGGTGGGGCAGTTAAGGTTTATAAAGTTTTTACATAAACATTAGTGTGTGGGAATAACAGCTGACATTACTGGGTATTAACATAGTCAATAGATGTGTTGTAACTCTGGATGGGTTGGTTTATTTGCAGCTACTGCTGATAATGAAGGGCAGAGTGAACACCCTTGTTGAACTCAGTTTGTGGATTTCGTGTAGGTGGTCACTGGAATCTACTGGATGGATGATATAAGTTTAAATTGATCAAACAAGTTGTTTGTAACATGTAGAGTTGGAAATATATGGACAAGTCAAAAATGGATAAGTATAGTTTTGGTGTGGAGGTGGAAAATGTGATTTTGTGAACTGACTGTACAGTTTGTTTTGCTGTTTTAAGATGCACTGCAGATAAGACACCTATTTACATAAATGTAAATCCCAGCCATTTTATGTTTGGTACAAAAGTTGAAGGTTATTGACCAGTATTATATATACTTGGTGATGATATACCGGTACAATTGTTCCAGTGTATCAGATGATAATTTTTCTCAGATATTTTTCGAGAACTTGGCTGATTAAAGAAAATACGTATTATTCACGTAAATAAGCCCAAAGATTATCAAAATGGCGGGTACAAATAAATGTGTAACTCGCAAAATATCTCGGACACATCTTCAACCATCATTGGCAGAAGTTGCTGCGGCTAATACTGAGAGGTAAGATGAACTCTGATCATGAAGTGGTCACTATATCCATCTGAATTGAAGTTTTACAACAGTAAAACTTTTATTACGAGTGCAGCATCTGAAATGACTTACAACTGATCTTACTGTGTTGCTGTAAATTTATCAACAAATGGCAAGTGTTTCCATGGCAATTGAGTGGCTAACCAACCTAATGTTTGTGGTTTTTTTTGCCTTTACCTAAAACACTAGGTCCTACCCGCTAACAGACAACTTTTGTTGATTGTGTTGCTTAGTTACACTGAATGTTGTGTCTGACTTTTTATCTTTGTTTGATTGAATTAGCACTCTCAAGTTATTAGTCTTTTCTTATCTATCTGTAAGAATTTACCTCTATGTTTATGTTATATTTACAGGAGTTTTTACATTAAAATGACATTGAAGTTTTTATTAATTTAGATTATGGAAATATTTTTTGTTTTACAATGAAGACATACTTTAAATGGGCTATGAGTGTGTCAAGTTGTTTGACAGTGGCTTGAATGTAACAGTTGATTGTTGAATGATCAACTTTGTCTGTTCCTTCAGCCATTGATGAGCATGGTAACACAAACAGGCAGAGAGGTTTATTTGTTACATTATCTTCAAAAACACGTCCAACATGCGCTGATGGATTTAGTGACTTCTACATCTCTACACGGCTGCAAATGATAAACTATTGTCAATATATAAGTACCCACCAGGGATAGAAATTAATAATGTTTCATGTGTACCATAAGCCAGTTATAAAGATGTTTAGTTCCTTATATGAATTTAAGTCTACAATTCAAAATAGCAAGTTTGATCAATGACAAAAGAAGATTACTTGAAATGTGTGTGTTCTGTTCGCCTACAGTCTGTTTGGGTCAAAATGATACCAATGCCTCACAATCTAACTCCAAAATTTCCTCAGATTCCAGTCCAGAAGAGTTTTGATACAACCCCTAAATGTAGACATCTGAAGCTGCACGTGCTTCCCGCCCTTGAGGCGACAGTACTACCGTTACTCTACCCTTGTAAAACTTCACACAGAAAATCAAAACAAAATAATGATAGTTTCTTAAGTAACTTTTCTAATTTGGAGACAAACATTATGAAACTTTTTTCAGAGTTGGTCTGATGTTTTCATTACATTGTCATGAAATGAATGTTTAATCATGAACCAATTTGGAGTTCATCCATATCATTTTGACCTAAACAGATTATAATCAATTCGTTCATCACTCAGTGTCACTCACTGGTTTCTATGGTTACAGAAGTCCATGTCAATCCATCAAAACTCTCCATGGACAGCCATTTTGAAATTACTGGCTGTCAGTCTCAGTGAATGTTATCTCGTAGGCTAGATAAGCAGGATTAATTTAGAAAGTTTGTCTTTCCTGTGCATTGAAATTGATAACATTGATATACATTTCAGGTTCTGAATTCCATGTGTGTGTTGTATTATCATGTTTATATGTCCGATTATTATTTTTCATGTGACACTATGTCAGCAGTCTATAACATGGACATTCAAACCTTGAAATCTCTTAAGCATTTACCTTAAAGCATGGATACTTTTTAATCAAACGTTGGATAATGAAATTTATAGTTTGTCCAGTATTCTTGTGAGACAGTAAATTTATAACTTTATACAATAACCATCATTACAAGGTATTGAATACGTATGATTTCCCTGTGTGCAATATAAGCTCATTATCTCGACCTTGCTTACTTGACTTTTACTGTGCCATTCGCAGTCTATAACATAGAAATTCAAATCATGAAATCTCTTAGTCTCTTACCTCAAAGTAGGCATACTTTTTCATTACAAGTTGGATAATGATTTTTCTATAATAAAACCAAAACAAATCACTTAAAACAAGATGGCAGCTCCCATGAAGCCTCTGCTGTTATGTTGTGTCGTAATTTGGATGTTGACTTGATCGTGTTACCTTGCAGGGAGAAGGAGCTAAAGGCCAAACAAGATGAGCTGGACAACTTCAGGGGGAAGTACAACAGGGAGAGGGAGGAGAAGAAGGTAGGAGTAGCATCTGGAAATCTTGGGGTGGGGGGGCGAACTCATGTCCCCCATTATCTGTCTGACAGGAATATGTCCATGACACTATGTGTTGTCCAAAACTCCCTGACAGTTAGTGAAACAGATGGGTCAGGAAGTACTCCTGCTTAGGGACCATTCATGATTTATGGCTTGGGGTGGTGGTGATGATTTTTATGGAGAAGCATGTGCAATGTGAATGACCCCTCTAAAATTTATGTACAAAATAAATCAGCCCCACTGCATGCATGTCATGTACAAAATCAATTACCCCCCAACCCCCTTCATAATTTTGGAGCATATTTTAAAAATATATTTATGTGCCAAATTGCTGACCCCCCTACCTCCCCAGAACAAAATGGGTTTCCCCCCCTTAAAATCATCATCATCATCAAACCCCACCCCCACCCCCACTAGTAGGGGGTAATGGGGTGAGATCTAAGGGCCTGACAAAAGCTTTATTTGTGAAATAAGGCTTTGCAGAGGCTTTGTTGGACTTGATTTCGTACTCCCCATTATATATACTACTACACAAATCAAGTCCAACAAAAGCCTCTGCAAAGCCTTATTTCACAAATAAAGCTTTTGTCAGGCCCTTAGATCTCGCCCAATTACCCCTACTCCACTCCCTAGCCATAAATCATGAACGGTCCCTAAAACACAGTCAGACTCTCCTCCTGATAATACCTTGAAAATGTCATTGTCAAGTTGTTCCCATGTTACTGTTTTCTTTGGAGGATATTTTTCCATGGAACAGTTTTTACAGAGAAAATCACTCCACGATACTAATTTCATACTGAACTGATTGTTATTGACAAAAACAACTTCTCCATGTGAGCACATACTACCGTATTTATGGAGGAATAATGAGAATTTGACGTGAATCCTGTTATGGTTTCTGGCCCAGCATCAACATTGGGGAAGGATAACAATCTATGGATGAACAACTTCTTCGCTACAACTTCTTTGAGTGGCATGTAGAAGTTGGTGTGATAAACAGCGATGAGAGTTCCATGGATATACAACTTCTTTAATATTAATATGAGTGACATTTCGGTGTAGGTTCTAACACCATTATCAAGCAAGTGATGAACCTAAACTTGCAATGGTTTGGCATTATGTTAAAGGTCACATGCAACCAAAAAATCAAACATAATTAAAACACAATTATCACTTATTCATGACATATAATATACATTGCTGGTTATGAAAAATTATATAAACAAAATTATAAGCGTACAATCGCAAATCGAAAGTGCAAAATTGTGTACTTCGGTTTACTTCCCAAGAAACGAAGCAGCCGGGATACCGAACCCAGTCAGAGCGGGTGGGTGTGCACTCAAGTGTAACGGCTGGTTCATTTGCAGATGTCTTCACGGCTAATTGTGTGTATATATATAGAGAGATGTTGGGTTTTGTAAATACATGCTCATTTTTGGTGTATAACATTTTGCAATCAACAGACATCATAACATGTCATGTGTTCAAGTATCACGCCTGCCTGTCTGTGTAATTACATAATGTGACAGAGACCAAACTCGGGCCATAAATCAATGCATTTTGTTTATGGTGTATAGCCTGATTGGTGTTAAGTTCAAATCGCTTGTGGTCTGTGATAGCAGCTGTGTATTGAATATTGTCATTAGCAGACAGGCAGGCAGACACACAGGTGTCAATAAAACAAGACATTGAGTTTTGTCTGTGACAACGACATATCTATATCACAGTTAGAAATTCTGTCAACGCTAAATAATGACATTGCTTTTAAGTATCGAACTGAGAAAGTGTCTCAGTAAGAAGAACGTGTGGTGAAATAGACAAATGAAATTATATAAACAGTTAATTTACTGTCATCACATATAAAAGCTTCGGCGCCTGTGAGATATCAACAAAACATTAGAAAATAGCTCACACCAAAGCCTTCACAGAGTATTCACCCGACAACCCGCTTCCAAGCTGCGCGAACCTATTTACTTGCGCATGTGCTATGAGCGCAGCCCAGCTGTTGAAACCCGTTTTCCCCAGAAAAGTCTGGGGAAAATTAGTGAAACGTTTGAACTCCGATTTCGCGCGTTTTTTTTCATTGCGTTATTTTTCAACTTTATAAGTTGAATTTGCATTTTTGACGATTTGTTTCGGTATGTCCATACCGAAAGGTATCAGAATCTGCAAAGTTGTGTTTTACGTTGCATGTGACCTTTAATAGTTTAGTGTGCAGTATGCAAGGCGGTGACTGTTTAGCTATGATCCGACTGAAACATAGAAAGTTAGAGGGGGAAAATCTATAATGAGAATATTCAGAGATCGTACAAATGCTAAGAGTATGTTTACACAAAGATTGTACAGTTGGATTTTGGGACACAAGGACATTAGGACCACATTAAAACATAGAGGGACATAGTTGGGACATTGGGACACTAGAGGACTTTGTAGGATGCCAGGACATTGTAGGACGCCAGGACATCAGGAGGACATTAAGACATGAGTAAACAAGGCTGTAGATGGTCAGCCATGATCTGAACAAAAAGAGAAAGGCAGAGAGGAAAAAATTCTTTCATGTACAAAGATTGTTCATAACAAGTACAGTTGAACTTTTGCTGGGGAGCAAGGAAATTAGGAGTGAGTGAGTGAGTGAGTTATGATTTACGCCGCTTTTAGCAATATTCCAGCAACATCACAGCGGGGACACCAGAAAATGGGCTTAACATATTGTACCCATGTGGGGACATTAGGAGGACATAGTAGTGACACTAGGACAGTAAGTGGTCCTTTGGTAACACTGGGACAGTAATAGGTCAATTGGTAACACTAGGTCTGTAAGAGGTCATTTGGTAACACTGGGACATTAAGAGGTCATTTGGTAACACTAGGACAGTAAGAGATCATTTGGTAACACTAAGACTGTAAGAGATCATTTGGTAACATTAGGACAGCAAGAGATCATTTGGTAACACTAGGTCATTAAGAGGTCATATGGTAACACCAGGACAGTAAGAGATCGTTTGGTAACACTGGGACATTGAGAGATCATTTGGTAACACTAGGACATTATGAGGTGATTTGGTAACACTAGGTCTGTAAGAGGTCATTTGGTAACATTAGGACATTGAGAGGTCATTTGGTAACACTAGGACAGTAAGAGGTCATTTGGTAACATTAGGACATTAAGGGGTCATTTGGTAACACTAGGACATTATGAGGTCATTTGGTGACACTAGGACATTAAGAGGTCATTTGGTAACACTAGGACATTAAGAGGTCATTTGGTAACACTAGGACATGAGGTCATTTGGTGACACTAGGACATTAAGGAGTCATATGGTAACACTAGGACATTAAGAAGTCATTTGGTAACACTAGGACATTAAGAGGTCATTTGGTAACACTAGGACATTAAGAGGTCATTTGGTAACACTAGGACATTAAGGGGTCATTTGGTAACATTAGGACATTAAGGGGTCATTTGGTAACACTATGACATTATGAGGTCATTTGGTGACACTAGGACATTAAGAGGTCATTTGGTAACACGAGGACATTAAGAAGTCATTTGGTAACACTAGGACATTTAGAGGTCATTTGGTAACACTAGGACATTATGAGGTCATTTGGTAACACTAGGACATTAAGAGGTCATTTGGTAACACTAGGACATTAATGGGTCATTTGGTAACACTAGGACACTATGAGGTCATTTGGTGACACTAGGACATTATGAGGTCATTTGGTAACACTAGGACATTATGAGGTCATTTGGTAACACTAGGACATTAAGAGGTCATTTGCATTTGGTGACATTAAGATGACATTGGCTGTCATTGTTCAGGTTCTGAAGTGGTCTTTCAGCTGTAGTAACACCTGTGTATACGGAATCGGATAACTAATGTCACTGCGTGGAACGGCGCCAACGACATTGTTTCTGTTCCAGTTCAGTGTATTATTTTGTGTCTATTTTTACCCTCCAGCTGCAAGGTGGGCTAATCCTTCTTAGAAAGCAGGACCAGCCAGGCAGGGGTCTAATTAGGGTGTCTGTCATTAAGGCAGTGACAGGGGGGTTCTGACAGGGGAAGGGGGATCAAGTCGGATCAGACCTAGGTAAGAACCTTAGCTGGATAGCATCAGTTTCAGGTGATCGAGATGTTTCTAGAACACGCGGAATAGAATGCTGTCTTGCTGAACAATCAGATATGCCAATTACAACTTTGGCAGAATTATAACATCAGGCAGCCAGTATCATTGATGAGGTTTTGCTTGCTTTTGTTTGTCTAGGGTTGTTGATTTTGAGGAGTAAAAAATTATAATGCAAAAGATTATGGAAGGGGGCTTGAAAAAAATTACATAGAAATAATGTTTATTATTATTATTAGCGCCATGAGCATGCATTCGTGGGTGGACACTGGCACTTTATAAATATCCCTAATATTTTTATTTATTGTAATTTCTAATTGCTAGATTGTGGAATAGTCGAGCATCTCTGTTGAACACATGTAAAACATGTTCTAGTTCACCAAGACTTAGGTCAATTTACGTTTTATCTGATGTCTAGGTGAAGTATTTCCTTGACCACAATAGCTGATGGCATCAGGAAACATTAGAGATCTTTGACCTTCAGCCTAATCAGAGACCATATAATAGTCTGTGTCTATTATATGGTCTCTGGCCTAATGATTGAAAGTGCATTCTTGTGCTGATTTCAAATGTTGAGTTTCTGAAACTATTCAGCTTCATTTCCTCACCACTTTGATTTTGAAATTTCAATCGTTAAGCAAAAGAACACCAACAACAGAACACCCTTTTTGGTGACGATGCTATGATACTCAAAAGAATAATAATGTTATATTTTTGCATTCAGAACTCCCTGTGTATGTTTGTTTTCAAGATACAGAAGTCAGATTTGCTGGCCTGAACGCTAAGATTGTTCACTTGTACTGAAACACAAGGGGCCTCACTGCTGATTGGTTTATTTGGAAGATAGATATAAATAAGTTTTCCACTTTCACCACATCTACAGCACCTGTTTCAAATGTAAAATTGAATTTCAATACCATTCTGAGAAAGTAACTGTTTGTTGATACTGTAAACAAATGGAAGTGTTATGATTGGGGACTCTTTGTTGATGCTCAGTGTCTGCTTTGATCCAATTCTAATGTGGTTCAGTTGGACTTGGTGATCACAGATGAAGTAAGTAAGCTGACTTAATTTTTATAAAGATATGTCACGTTAGTGTGCATATTTTTCAGTAATATATTATCAAAATGTTCTGGCATCTGTGTACTTTATCTGTCGACAGATTCACATGTTGCATTAGTGAGGTGAGGTGAGGTGAGGTGAAATTGGGTTTTACGTCGTGCTTGAGAATATTTCGCTCATATGACGACGTGCATGCGTGTGTATGTGTATGTGCAGCTGCTTGTACTAGCCCAGACTGAAGCTGGTTTTATAGTGCTAGCCCACTGAGATACCATGCCGAAGTGAAGCATGAATACCCCACTCAGACACATTATACTGACTCCGAGCCGACCAGTCCTTATTGTACCCATTAATGCCGAGCGCCAGACAGGGACCAACAAGTACCATATTTTAACGTCTTTTGGTATGACGCGGTCGGGGATCGAACCCGCGACCTTCCGCTCTCCGGGCGGACACTCTAACCACTACACCACGGAGGCGGTCACATGTTGCATTCGTACTTGGTTGGACTGTTACTGTGTTTGCTGTATTAGGGGTGATTGTTCCCAACCATTTGATCTCAGATGTAATTTGTTTTGTTTGGTTTGATAAGCACCATGTTATCAATTGCTTTTAAGAGTTTAAATACAATGTATAGGGCAACTAACAATGTTTTAATTTCCTGACGCAATCGAATCCAAGTGCTGACATTTGAATTATTTTAGTGGCATATATTTCATGATTTACAGTATTTCATCAAAGGAGGCAGGCTCCACATTGATTTTCTTCACATATAGGTTTTTCTGGATATGCAATCCCCCAAAAGAGCATCAAGACTCTGAAGCTCCTCACCTTTTAGATATGATGGCAGCCATATTTGAATTGGGATCAGAATTCTGTGAGCATTTTTAGAGACTGTGATCATTTGCTCAAAGATTCAGCTTCGAAGGTTGTGCCTAGGAATTTTAACCAGATCTGAACCTGAATGATTTGGTGTTGACAGAAACTGCAGGAGGACTATGATCGTCTGCTGTCCAGCCAAGGGGACGCCAGTCAGAGACTCGTCCTGGCTAATGAGTCTCTGGACAAGTTGCGTCTGGAATCCAAGAAGAAGAATGATCAGCTGGAGAAGCAACAGCGTGCCATGAATGTCATGGAGGACAGGATGCGCAACCTGGAAATACGAGGTATTGACCTGCCGTTGTGCAAATGAGGATCTTAAATAATTATCAATAGTTTTTTAAAACTTTGTTTATAGATCCACAGACCCTGAATGTGAACAAAATCAGTGAGAACATACTATTTAATGAATTTCTCTGTCACCACCTGATAATTTGAAACAGAAAGAAAAAAATGGTTTATTGAAGGAACTTTTTTCAAGTACTTCAAAAGAGGAAAATGAAATGTTTCTGTTATTATTTTGCTACAAATGTGTGAGCCAAGAAAAAAATATCTCAGATTTATGAACACTGGTATGATAGGTGATTCATATCTGCAGATCTAATATGAAAAATGTCAGTATTCTTTTATGTAATGTAGAAATTGTCAAATCAGTTGCAAAACTCTATTTAAACAGGCATTTCACCAATTTGACCAGGAAATTTCATATTCTACATTTCTGTGTAATTTTATAGCCATACGTAGATCCAGGACCACGCAAGCGCAAATCTGGCACAATGTTCACTTTTCAAACTGTATAAAAATGTGCGCCTGAAAACAATTTCGGCAGCCAGGGGGTTAAACAGGCATTTCACCGATTTGACCAGAAAGGCTGCAGCAGGCCATGTTTGTGCCCCAGTAGCTATATCATTCTTTCTATTATTTTCTGGAACATCTTTCTGTTTAAATCCGAGGTCCCACCCACATAAATATAGAGGCTGGTCCCAGATTCTGCCTTGAATGTGAACTGAGACGTATTATGGGGGTATTCCAGGTTAGAATAGGTCCCCAGCCACCTAGGCTGGTCATAAGAGGTGATGCAATGGATAAAGAGGTCAGGACCACTGACATGGTTTATTGATGTGATCATATCCCAGGTTCATGAATTGTTGCTCATGACGTCAATCACTGGATTGTCTGCTCATGACGACAGTCACATTGATTTTCAGTCTGCTGTCATATTTCTGGAATTTTTGTGAGTGTGCTGCTAAAACCTGACTAACTGACTGACTGAGTTTGTTTTTTTACGCTACTTTTAGCAATATTCCAGCAACATCATGGCGGGGGACACCAGAAATGGGCTTCACACATTGTGCCCATGTGGGGATTCGAACCCGGGTCTTCGGCGTGACAAGCCAACGCTTAAACCATTAGGCTACCCCACCGCCCAAAACCAAATGAACAAAACAATAGGTTTCTTTGGTTCTAGTGCTAGTATAACGTGGGTTTTTTCCCCCAGCATCTGAAGTGGAGAAGGCGGAGTTGACTCTCGAGTCCACGAAGAAGAACCTGGAGGTGACAGTGTAAGTAGCAGTAGTTTGTTGTTCAATTCGTTTTGGAAAATTAATGTTTTATTGCTGAGTCCTTGTTACAGAGTTTGCTGTTTGTGTAATTAGATTTCTTAGTTGTCATGACTGTTCTTAGGTAACAACTTTTCAATTTAAATTTTAATTTAATTTTAAACTTTACTTTTTGAGTTTTTGAACTGTCCACTCTATGTGTCATATTTGGGAGGGATCTCTTGGCCTTGTGTCTTCACTTCACACTTGTACCTGTCATAGCCAAAAGTGCTCATATTGAAGAATAAAGAAAACATTGTTCCTGCCAAAACAGTGCGAAAGAACAAATCAGGGAAAGAATATGTAAATTAAACTTAATTTCATCACTACAGTTAATTATCAATATTATCAATGACACCATTTTCATGTCAATCATCATTATTAGTGTCATTTTTCCTATTGATGATAATTACAATCACTGATAATTTTAGACAGCCCTATCAAATGTCTTTACTCTTCTTGTAGATTCTTATCAATTTGTTTCTTTCAGAGCTGAAAGTCGATCTAAGGATACAGAAATTAGGAAAATGGTTTCCCAGTGTGAAGAAAAAGACATGAAACTACATGTAAGTTTCTGGATGGATTATATATTTAATAGATTGTAGTATTTGGAGTCAGATAAACATGATGGACTGAAAAAGAATAGTCTTTATTATTCATTTCATTTTCGTTGGAAATTTTTTTTGTTTTGTGTCCACTTCATTATGACTCGTTAACCCAAATAATCAACAGCATAAACCAGATATTCACCAGACAAGCTATATTGTATCGGTTTGATGTATAAAGTAGTTATTCATAGGTATATTTTTGTTGGTTATCATAATATATTCTTAAGGTATTAACAAGCTTTTCATAACTTCCGGCATTTAGAAGCTGGTATTATGAAGAGGAACAAATCTATGGATTGACAATTTCTTTAGTGCAATAAATGCAACCTTTTGGCGTAGATGTTAACACCGTTATCAAGCAAGTTAGCATCTACATCTACATACCTGTCAACTCTCACGCATTTGGCGTGAGTCTCACGCTTTATTGACAAATGTCACGCTCTCACGCCTCCAAATAATAATCTCACGCATATCTGGTAGCCAAGAATAATTTCAAAATTAATACGCATTTTCGTTCGTTTTTGCGTAAAGTTGAACATTGAAAGAACGCCTGAATGAACGAAGTACTAAAACGATGTTTATGCGAATGATTCGGCTTATTGTTATTTATTAGCATGCATCTTTTAGTGTCAAAATAATGCCACCAGAAGGCTCCAAATGCTCCTGAAAATCACTAAACTTCATTTTCGGGGGCGGGGGGCTTCGCCTCCCAGAGACCCCCCACCAGGGCGTCGCCCTCGACATGACCCCGGCTGGACCCCGGCTTATTTTTTTTTCAGTCTCACTCCAAACCATCTTTAGGGGTTGACAGCTCTGCATCTATTGCAATCCATATAACTTGTTCCTCTTCATGGTATTCATAGTTAACTCATAGCATATTCATAACATATGCTTAAGTTATTCACTGGATATTCACAGCATATTTGATGGTATTCAGAGTGTATCAATGGAATCGGTAAGATTAAAATTCAGACATACATTTAGTATATCTCTAGTAATGGTTGTTTGAGTATACACAACCGTACAATGCTTGTAGCTTTTTGCAATAGTGGCCCTCAAGGGAGGTAACTCTGATGGTCAATCTTTACGTCTGCTATGTTTTTTTACATGCTTTAGCTCTTGCCCTGAAACAATCCTTACTCAGTTCTCTATCATAGAGATGCACATTTATATTGTACGTTTGACCTAGTTGATTGTGAGTCACTCGTGCTATCAACCCCTACTTTACTGGTATCAGACTCAAATGACTCAGCAAATGAAAAGATATTTTGCTGCATGTATTTCAGGCAGCCAATGAGAAGATATCAACTCTGGAGAAGAAGATGAACGACCTCAAGCTGCAGGTCCGCCACGAACTCATGAAGAACGAGAACATAGAGAAGGTGATGGTCTGTTAACACATTTCAGCCATACAGCAGCATGGCAAAATCATTTCCATGATATTTCTATAAGGTAGCGCAGATGCAGCAGGCCATGAAGTCATTCTACAGGTGTATCTTTCCCTACAGTCTGTTTGCAGTGGAAACGTACCGATGAATTTCACTTTACACAATAAAGTAAATCAAATAAAGTGAAATTAAGATTGCGAATCCTCATAATTTTACCTTGCCAATTGAACTTTTAAATCTCAGAATTTTATTCAACTTAGGATAAAAGTTATTTAACAAACAATCATAGTTTCAAATCGCTATTATTGGTTCGTATTACAAGGGGGTACGTGCAGTAGTTGGAACAATAAAACAAATGCATGTGCGGTCCGTAATGAGCGTTAACTTAGACCACCGTAGAAACCAACCTTCTTGTTCTAGGGGTTTCATTTAATGTGCATATCCCCTTGTAATACAAATCAATAATAGCGATTTGAAACTGATTGTTTTTTTTATGCTAAGTTGAATAAAATTCTGAGATTTAAAAGTTCAATTGGCAAGGTAAAATGATGAGGATTTGCAATCTTAAGTTCACTTTATTTGATTTTCTTTTTTGATTAAAGTGAAATTCATTGGTACGTTTCCACTGCAAACAGACTATAGTAATGATTTGAGTCTATATGGTCATGTGGACAAGGTGTCTAACTTCATATCAGAAGGTCTGTGGTTCAAATCCAATCAGTTGTGTATTGATATTCATCACTATTCAGATATATTGAAGCTCTATGACTGAGAAAAAGACTCTTTGTGTTTCATGATTAGTACTTCTCTAAGTTTTGTTCAAACAACAAAAAATTAGACTTAATAGTTGCTGAAGGTGGGAGTGACATTAATTTGTGTTATTCAGGGCCTTGAGACAATTCCTCGTCTGAAAGAAGAAATTGTGGATCGTGACAAGCGGATCAAGAAGTTGATAAAGGAGGTGGAGGAGAAAACTGGATGGAGAAACTACAAGGATAAACTGAGGGGTAAGTTGACATAGAGCCAAGGCAAGGGGTGGGGTGGAGGAGAAAACTGCCTTGATGACGGCAGCCAGGAAAGCTGTCCGAGACTACAAGGATAAACTCAGGGTAAGTTGACATAGAGTTGTCATAACAAGGCAACGGTGGGGTGGAGGAGAAAACTGCCTTGATGACGGCAGCCAGGAAAGCTGTCCGAGACTACAAGGATAAACTGAGGGTAAGTTGACATAGAGTTGTCATAACAAGGTGGCGCATAGTCCCGTGCACAGAGCTCAGGTCACAAATCAGATGAAGTTAAGCAACATCGAGCTCGGAGAATCCTTGGATGGGTGACTGTGTTTGGCAGCTTGACTTCTGAGAGTTTCTAGGAGATCAGTCCTGCCCCACAACGAATCATATGGGATACATGTGGTCTCACCTTAGGCAAGTGAGTTTGTTCAAAATTGTCTCTGTTCACCCAGCAGACAAATGGGTACCCGGTGGGATAAGTCATGTGACTATAACCTTCTTGTGCCTCACAGGCAGCTTGGGTTATCCGGGGTAATAATAATCAGACTGTAACAAAAGTTGTAGTGCTTTGAGCATGCCCTAGTGCATGGAGTCTAGCGCTCTACAAATACACTGTATTATTATTATAAGGGTGGGTCAGGGTGGAGGAGGGAACAGCCTTGATGACAGCAGCCAGGAAAGCTGCCTAAGTCTGCAAGGATGAACTTAAGGTAATTATCTCCAGAGATGTCATTATAATGCAAAGATGGGACAGAGGAGAATATACCCATGATGACAGGAAGCAGGTTCAACGGTTTTTGACATTTTCAACATAAATCCCTTGAAAAGCTTACAAAGATAGAACCAAATCCTAGGTGTCCATCGGGTTAGAATTGATCTTTAGCATATTGCTGGAATATTGCTAAAAGCGGCGTTAAATCATACTCACTCACTCACTTCTAAACACATACCACCTGGATAATAACGCTTTAAATCTATGGCTAACGTCAGGCAATATCAGGCTGAACGACATACACACGATTGGTATTTTCTTCTCTTTCTTCTTCTTCTTCGTGGACCCGTGAAGGTCCGGGTTAGAAAATTGATCTGCAGTAACCCATGCTTGTCGTAAGAGACTAATGGGATCGAGTGGTTGGCTTGCTGACTTGGTTGACACATGTTATCGGTTCCCAATTGTGTAGATCGATGCTCATGCTGTTAATCACAGAATTGTCTGGTCCAGACTCGATTATTAACAGACTGCCTCCATATAGCTGGAATATTGCTGAGTGTGTCATTAAACAACAAACAAACCAACCAACCATGTCCATGGTAATGGTAGTTCCTGAGCAGTGTGACTTGTTTATGGGCAGGTATGACCAGTTCCTGAACAGGTATGACTGTTGTTGTTGACATTGATGACACTTTACATCTTGCTATCTGGGCAGGATGCTGACAAGAAGCTGGATGCGTCCAAGGACCTTGACCTGGAACTGCAGCTGGCCCGCTGTGAAGTGGCCACTCTCAAGAAACTCATGTCCGGCAAGGATTCCTTGGTCCTACAGAAGTGTCAGGCTCTGGACCTAGCCAAGGTGAGTGAGTGAGTGAATGAAAGACTTAGTAGTGTAAGTGGTTGACAAAGTGAGTGAGTATTGTAATTGCCTGAGTAAGTGCCCGAGTAACTTGGGTGAGTGAGTGAGTATTGTAATTGCCTGAGTAAGTGGCCGAGTAACTTGGGTGAGTGAGTGAGTATTGTAATTGCCTGAGTAAGTGCCCGAGTAACTTGGGTGAGTGAGTGAGTATTGTAATTGCCTGAGTAACTTGGGTGAGTGAGTGAGTATTGTAATTGCCTGAGTAACTTGGGTGAGTGAGTGAGTATTGTAATTGCCTGAGTAAGTGGCCGAGTAACTTGGGTGAGTGAGTGAGTATTGTAATTGCCTGAGTAACTTGGGTGAGTGAGTGAGTATTGTAATTGCCTGAGTAAGTGGCCGAGTAACTTGGGTGAGTGAGTGAGTATTGTAATTGCCTGAGTAACTTGGGTGAGTGAGTGAGTATTGTAATTGCCTGAGTAAGTGGCCGAGTAACTTGGGTGAGTGAGTGAGTATTGTAATTGCCTGAGTAACTTGGGTGAGTGAGTGAGTAAGTATTGTAATGGCCCGAGTAACTTGGGTGAGTGAGTGAGTATTGTAATTGCCCGAGTAACTTGGGTGAGTGAGTATTGTAATTGCCTGAGTAACTTGGGTGAGTGAGTGAGTATTGTAATTGCCTGAGTAACTTGGGTGAGTGAGTGAGTATTGTAATTGCCCGAGTAACTTGGGTGAGTGAGTGAGTATTGTAATTGCCTGAGTAACTTGGGTGAGTGAGTGAGTATTGTAATTGCCTGAGTAACTTGGGTGAGTGAGTGAGTATTGTAATTGCTTGAGTAAGTGGCCGAGTAACTTGGGTGAGTGAGTGAGTATTGTAATTGCCCGAGTAACTTGGGTGAGTGAGTGAGTATTGTAAGTGCCCGAGTAACTTGGGTGAGTGAGTGAGTATTGTAATTGCCTGAGTAACTTGGGTGAGTGGTGTGAGTATTGTAATTGCCTGAGTAAGTGGGCCAGTGGCTTGGGTGAGTGAGTGAGTATTGTAATTGCCTGAGTAACTTGGGTGAGTGAGTGAGTATTGTAATTGCCTGAGTAAGTGGCCGAGTAACTTGGGTGAGTGAGTGAGTATTGTAATTGCCTGAGTAACTTGGGTGAGTGAGTGAGTATTGTAATTGCCTGAGTAAGTGGCCGAGTAACTTGGTTGAGTGAGTGAGTATTGTAATTGCCTGAGTAAGTGGCCGAGTAACTTGGGTGAGTGAGTGAGTATTGTAAGTGGCTGAATATTTGCATGACTTAGTAGTTTTTGTGCCTAGCCAAGGTGGATGAAGGAGTGAGTGAGCTGGGTCCAGTGCTGTGGTTTACACTGCATGGCATGACAGATTATTATATTAAGGAAAGCCCAAAGTGATAGGCCCTCATAAGTTGGGGTATGGAGGTGGCACACTAAGATCACAATAAAGTAAATCTTCAACCCATTCACTCACTCACATATCTCTTACCACTGTGTGTTGCAAGCCAGTGAAACAAAATCTAAAACGCTGAGTGAATCATTTGTATGATGGTTGGTATCTGCATTCCATCTAGGCTGTCATGTAGCTCAGTGTAGTGATAATCAACATTCTGTCCAATGTAATGTTGCAGGAGGTAATTGACTCACTGAACACATCCGCAGTGGACCCTGAGAAGCTGGGCAGGATACAGAAGGTGCTTGAGAGGCTGTGCAACCCAGCAGATCCCCTCAAGGAGGAGGACATATTCAAGGAGGGGGGACACCAGGTGAGGAGGGGGACTATGTGGAGGAGGAGTGAGGGGGGTTGATGGGCAGTAAAATGGAGGAGCAAATGATTACGTAAAATACACAAAAAGGGAAAACAGAGGTACAGATAAGCTGCTTATCTGCGTAAATTACGTGAAAACTGAATTCCTATTAAGTCTATTGCGTACAAGTACGCTTGAATTTGTGTAAATACTCAATAAATGTGATCTTACATGCGTACACACAAAAATGTCAAATCTTAGCTTGCGTATCGGTGGATAGATAAAATAACTGAGGTATATTGAGAGGTTCTATTTCAGGACATGAACTTGACAACTTGCAGTCTTTCTTATCGTTTCTCATATTATATATCAAATATAAATAACAAACACTAACATTTAAACTTTATTATATTTTTTTAATTAATGGAAAATTTCAAAATACCCAGTTGTGTTTGAGTGAGGTGAGTACAATTTATTTGGTTACTCAAAGGAAAATTAGGATACCCAATTGAGATGAACACAAGTGAGTACATAACTCAATGACCCAAAACGTTATCTGTAGCTCTGGGAAAATATGTATTTGTTATATAGATAAAAGGGCCTCATTGTCATTATTTTTTTAATATTTTCCCTAACGTTTTTGTAAAGGAATGGTAAATCAACTAATACAAATAGTAACATGGATGCTGGAGCTCACCTATATGTAGCAGATTAAAAAATGTCAACAAGAGCATCTTTGTTTCTCAAATATTTTCTGCATTACTACTGAGGATTAACATATAGGAATACGTTTTAACAATCATGATAAGGGGAAACATTCAAAAGTTCCGAAGTCTGTCAATATCAGAGCAGAAGCAGTATAGAGAGTCATTAAAGTTTGGGGAGAATTTAAGACCACAGACAAAACAAGCTGAAAATATAAAATATTGTGAATAAAAATGTTGAGCCCTACCACAAATTATGGTTATACAATGGTTAAAATTAAGCCATGAGTTCAAATATAAATATACATGATGGACAAAACATTCATGACAAACAGATGACTACCGGTACATAAATCAAGTTCACAGAAATAAGGCCTCATGATATGAAATGTGAAACATGGATATGTCATTTGTGATTGCGCTTTTTCCAGCCTTCCAGCAGAGTCCTCCATTTCCTCCAATGTGGTGCCGTCAGATCGTAGTGGAGGGAGCAAATCTCGTATGGGGCTTCTGCGGCCCTCTTCCTCGCCTCATATGGTGAGTAACTTCCCTGACATTGCTTTAATCCTGTTCTACCCGTTAAGATCCAGGTTAGAATGAAACTTCAGTAACCTATGCTTGTCGTAAGAGGCGACTAATGGGATCGGATGGCCAGTTTTGCTGTCTTGGTTGACACATGTCATCGGTTCCCTTTTGTGCTGACTGATGCTCATGCTGTTGATCACTGGATTGTCTGGTCCAGACTCGATTATTTACGGACCGCCGCCATATAGCTGGAATATTGCTGAGTGCGGCGTAAAACTAAACTCACTAGTGGTCAAAGCGTTCACTCATCATGCCGAAGACCCAGGTTCAATTCCAGACATGGGTACAATGTGTGAATCCCATTTCTGGTGTCCCCACTGGGATGTGACCTGTTGGTGTTTTCGCTTGTGGCTGTCCTACTCATGATCATATCTTGTGAAACTCAGTTTACTCACTCTCACTCAACAGAATGACTCCAACAAGGAGAACATGATCAACGTGAACATCAACCCATACTCCATGGACAACGGCCATGCAGATCACTCCCAGCGGGCTTCCCCATTCCCAGACCGACCAAGACACCATCGAAACAACATGCCCACCCGGCCAAAAACAGCCCAGGTTAGACGGAGTGCTTCCTTCCATGATCCAAGTTTCCATCTCCCAAGTTCAAGGTCAACATCTTTCCGATCATCTGCGAACACAGAAGCCAAGTGTAATGGACACATGTACAAATCAGAAACTCGCACTGGTTACAAATTCCAGCCATCCCTTGAATACAGTATAGGAGTGTCGGAATCCAAGAGGAAGCAGACGCGACCGTATTCGGCCATGATGGGTTCACCCACGGAAGACTCCGACAGTGACACGGGATGGAGTGTTCCGGACAATGCGGAGCTGTTGCAGAGACTGAGTCACGAGCAGAGGGTGGCTCTGTCCAACATGACGGCAGCCGACAAGGACAAGCTGTTGATGGAGGTCATCAACATCGGGGACCGAGTGTCCATCAGTGTACCTCAGAAGGCTCCCCGGTACGGCAGGAAGAAAGGTATGTGTGTGTTGACCACTTCATGTAATCATCATATAAGAGATAGTCATTAAGTGATGAAAATGATCCAATCACAACTTCCAAAAATATAAATCAGGCACGCAGAAGAAACTACCTTGCATTGAGTGAGTGAGTGAGTGAGTGAGTATGGTTTTACATCGCTTTTAGCAATATTCCAGCAATATCACGGCGGGGGACACCAGAAATGGGCTTCACACATTGTGCCCATGGGGAATCGAACCCTGGTCTTCAGCATGAATCTTGCACTGAGTCTCTTCTTGCTCCGTATGTTACCAATTGTGCCCAATGAGTTTAGCTATGTGTTCTGTTCACAAACATGGCATAAAATTATTTGGCATTATAACTGGGGTTGTTCACTCAAGCATTGTATTGATATTCTGTTTCTAAAGTTATGTGAGTGATTTTGATTATTTTTTAAATGACATTTTGCAAAAAAGGGATTATTATGCATGTATGTTTCGAATGTGAACCTATCATATATCAGGAATAAAATATCCCAAAGAACATGCATAATAAAATTTTTGTTGTATGAAATGTACCACATGGAAACCAAACAGCTAACAGTCTCTACTTAACCATTCAAAGGGTGTCATATTAAGCATCACAGCTTATTATGCAGAATTACACCTTTTGCCCTAATTCAACCTCATATCGATGCTTGCATGTCTGATTCAAGATTTGAACTAAACAGAAACTGTTTAACCTGTGTCGCAATGGACCTATGAAAGCTGACTCTCTCAAATTGTTTTAAAAATGATTCAGTTGAAGAGAAGGGATGTTTTATCAATGTACCATGACTGCTGTTTCCAGTGAAGCCGATCGTGTACACAGGTATGGTCAAGTATCGCGGCAACCTGGACAAGGAGTACTATGATGCTCGGATGTATGCTGGACTCAAGCTGGACGAACCCAGTAAGATGTCATGTCATTCAGACGATGTCTTAAATAATATATAGCTTATGGACAAATAGTTGTCGTCCATCATATATAAAAATGGGAATTCATCATTTTTAAACCACTGTTTTATAACTATTAAAATATATAAAATTAAAAGATTTAAATGTCATACATATCCATACTGTGATGTAAATGTTATGAAATGGTACTGGTCTGAAATCTTTTCCAGAACATGTGATGTATAGCATGGCACCCAGCTGAAATAAGCTTGTAAAAGACCATGGTATACCATGGTTCACAGACCATGGTTGACCATGGTGTATCATGGTGTACCATGGCTTACCACGTGCGGTAAATGGCACCACAGTTTACCATGGTAAAAAAAGACCATGGTCTACCATGGTAAAAAGAGACCATAGTGTACCATGGTCAACCATGGTAAAAAGAGACCATGGTATACCATGGATTACCACGGTACAAAAAGATCATGGATTTAACCCAGCTGAAATGAGCATGATTTAACCCCAGCTGAAATGAGCATGTAAAAGACCATGGTATACCATGGATCACAGACCATGGTCTACCATAGGGAGAAATGTTGGTGACCACGGTCTACCATGACTTCTGGTGACCATGGTCTATAATGACCATGGTCTAAATGTTGGTGACCATGGTCTACCATGACTTCTGGTGACCATGGTCTAAATGTTGGTGACCATGGTCTACCATGACTTCTGGTGACCATGGTCTAAATGTTGGTGACCATGGTCTAAATGTTGGTGACCATGGTCTACCATGACTTCTGGTGACCATGGTGACCATGGTCTAAATGTTGGTGACCATGGTCTACCATGACTTCTGGTGACCATGGTCTAAATGTTGGTGACCATGGTCTACCATGACTTCTGGTGACCATGGTCTATAATGACCATGGTCTAAATGTTGGTGACCATGGTCTACCATGACTTCTGGTGACCATGGTCTATAATGACCATGGTCTAAATGTTGGTGACCATGGTCTACCATGACTTCTGGTGACCATGGTCTAAATGTTGGTGACCATGGTCTACCATGACTTCTGGTGACCATGGTCTAAATGTTGGTGACCATGGTCTACCATGACTTCTGGTGACCATGGTCTATAATGACCATGGTCTAAATGTTGGTGGCCATGGTCTACCATGACTTCTGGTGACCATGGTCTAAAATGTTGGTGGCCATGGTCTAAATGTTGGTGACCATGGTCTGGCCATGACTAAATGTTGTGACCATGGTCTAAATGACCATGGTCTAAATGTTGGTGACCATGGTCTACCATGACTTCTGGTGACCATGGTCTAAATGTTGGTGACCATGGTCTACCATGACTTCTGGTGACCATGGTCTATAATGACCATGGTCTAAATGTTGGTGACCATGGTCTACCATGACTTCTGGTGACCATGGTCTAAATGTTGGTGACCAAGGTCCACCATGACTTCTGGTGACCATGGTCTATAATGACCATGGTCTGCCGTGGTATACCATGGTCTAAATGTTGGTGGCCATGGTCTACCATGACTTCTGGTGACCATGGTTTAGCATGGTTTTCAGCTGGGCACTGTCAGCAGACATACATTATAAGAGCTATCTTGTCTGACGTCTTGTAGTTGGTGATTCTGACGGAACCCACAAGGGGAAGCGGTACATGTTTACTCCAGCAGAACACGGCAAGTTCGTCAAGATGAGAGACATCACATTAATTCTCAATGTACAGGTAAGTTTTCTGAGCCACTGGCGGGCTGGGTGCTGTGCAGATATTAAGTCTCTGTAATTTACTGCAGAGTTGTGACCCTTTATCTTGCCATGGGTTCAAATTCTAGTTTGGTCTTGATAATGTTTGTTGGTTTGAGAACTGTGTGTTACACTCAAGTGCTTAAAACCCTCATCACCCTAGGCTTTGATGACACTGTTTGATGTGTTAAACAAAACCCTCTTCAGGCATGATGGGGAAATCATGATATTATTTATATCAGGAACTATTGTTTCTGCAGTCAAGTTTTGTCAAGTTCATGGACTATGAAAGATCCTACATGTATTTCTACTGAACCTTTCATGTCAAATCATTTGTGGTTTAAAGACAAAATACCTATATATATTGACCTAAAAATGTTACAGAGAATGTACAGGTGACAATAATGTGACAATAATGTACATGCCTGTGAAGCAGGCATTATCTGGCTTTGAACTGCGATTAATTGTTGGCTAATTGACCTAATTTTGTTTTTAATTTAATCACCAGGGAGCATCAGTGAAACAGTCATACTTAATCACATTTGCAAAACTGCAGTTTGTGCATTTTTAAGCGTGTTGTCATTGTTAACTTGTACCAGGACTAAGCAGCCTGTGTGTGTTTCAGTCTGGTCACTACATGCCTCTGGCCCAGATGCTTCTCCTTCACCTGGTCAGGAAAGCTCAGGAAGGCGGGGACACCGAGTCCAGCCACAGTCTGAACAGTTCCTAGGCAAAACCAAACACCCGAAGTCTTCAAGGATGCCAGGAACCGAGGAGTAGTGGGACTGAAGAGGCGTCTGCCCAGGAAACATCTCTCTGAATGTAATATAGGACGACTGATTGCTCGGTGTGTGACGTCTGCTCAGGGCAACAGATCTCTGGACGTAATACAGGACTACTGATCTGTGTGTGCAAGGTCTGTGCAGGACAACAGATTTCTAAATATAACATCTGTGAAGACCATTGATCTATGCGTGATGCAGTCAGAACTACTGATCTATATGTGTGAGGTCTGTGCAAGACAACGGATCTCTGACGTAACATCTGTGAAGGCCATCGATGTGTGTGTGACATCTGTCAGAACTACTGACCTCTGTTTGCGAGGCCTTTGCAAGACAACAGATCTCTGACATAACATCTGTGAAGAACATTGATCTGTAACATGTCAGATCTACTGATCTTTGTGTCATGTCTGCATATCCATCCATTGAAGCTGTGATACATGTGAATTTTATTGGATACCTCAATCACATAGAACATGACAAGTGGTAAACTGTTACGTCTAGTGCTTACTTGGTAGTTGATATATCTAATATATAAGTCCAACATGACCGATTTCTCAAGACTCCATTTCTGTGATGTATTCATTGTCCGGTGCTCTCTCGCCCAGACCTTGGCGCCATCTTGGATTACTTGTCAGTGTTAAATGTTTCCCTGTGACGTGAGTGTAATGTGGGAACAAAGTCCCAAGTGAAGAAAGTCTGAGACTACTGTAGTGAAACCCTGAGGGTTATTTGCTGCCAAACCAAAATCATGGAGGATGACTCTGGCATCTAATACCAAGATTATAGTTTCAGGCATGCCTAAAGAAGCAATATGAATGATATTTTATTGGAGTCAACCGTCCAAGCCATGTGATAACTTCTGAGGGATTTAAATGGTACACAGGATATGAATCAGCATCATGTAACCATCATGTGACTATCATGTGACCATTATGTGACTATCATGTGACCTTCAGTGGAATGTTATGACATCACCTAAACTTGCTATTTCAATTTAGTTGTAAAATTGTGAAAAGCTGGTGGAGATTTCTTCAATCCACCACCAGGAATCTTCTTGTTATATTTACATCATATTTACCTTTCATGAGATGGGAGTTCTGGTTTAGTGACAAGCTCAACAACCAAAAAGGAATAGGTTACGGTATTTATTTTCCTGCTTTGACCTTTGTTGAAGTTACTTATCAGAAGAAATGTGATATTTTTTAAATTCCATCCAAATGTATACATATATTTATTATACATGTGGAGATATATTATTATTATTTATTTATATATACACATTGAACAGACCAGTTGACAAAGTGAAAATTAAGCTTAAAACATCACTTATCTGAATTGAATATATATTTTTTCAAAGTGCTATTAGGTACACTCCATTGTATAATTAGTAGACATTGTAAGACATTTGCACTGGCATTTAACACAGTAGAATACTTCACATCATGCCATGTTTGTTTCTTGTTTAATACTGCACTCCAGAATAAAGACAGCAGCCTGTAGGTATTTAAGACGATCTGGAGATTCAGTTACTGAACAAACTGAAACAATTACACATAATCTACTACGTGAATCTACTGAGACTGACCCCTTGATCCATAAAGCCACCTTGTACAATGAGGATGGGATTTTATGGACCATTTCGGAACCAAGAATCCCCTTTACAGGGGGTATGTGAGGATATGTAGAATGATGTGAATGAGGGTCTATGTAGAAATGCCCTAGACTAACAACTAGTCTCTGAAATGAACATATTTTACTGAAAAAAGTTCATAGTAAAAAAATATAAAATATAATGAAAAGGAGCCCTGAGACTTTCTTCATTTTCAGAAGCTGAGGAAATCTAGACTTGCCACATTTTCTAGACTTGTGCGGGCTTTCTTGGATATATTTGTTTCAGGGTCTGTACGACAGACTAGGAATGCCCCAACGACCAGGAAACGGTTTCGTGTTAGGCAAGAATCTCACTTACTGGATACTTTCCGTCATTTTGGTAAGGAATGTGTACAAGCTCAATCACTCGCCATTTTTTAGCCACTTTGCGAAAATAACACAATTTTAGAGAGCCTGCCCCAACACAGACACTTAAATTAAATGCTTTCATAGCTAAATGTAAGTCTTAGTACCAAAGTTACTGAAAGTACTACATGTTGGTTGAAATGTGGGGTTGCTGCAAGCCATTATGGAACATCTAGTTTCGGATACTGTTTTGATGTTGATGTCCCATCAAATGCATGCAGCATCATTTTCCTCTTTATTTTGAGCTGCTTAATGTTTCCAATAGTAAAGCGGTCTCACATGGCTAATATTAGTATCAAACAAACATGTGGATTGTGTGGTAAAATGCGCATGTACAGCATTGTACAACCATGTGAAAGATTCTTAAGGCCAAATAAATATAATATTGTGGTTCCGATCACACCTCTTTAAAATTTAGGGTAGGTAGGAATTTTTTTGTAAAAATATTTTTTAGAAGTAAAGTACAAACAAATATCACATTTATCAATGTATGATTGTTTATTCAATCAAGGTTTCAGCCATCATGTCGAATTTCTCTATCAGAATGACCGATGTCCGTCGGGGACGTGAAAAAACTGGTATCTAAAAGCGAATTTAATTTATACTGTTTAAAAAAATTAGGGTCGACACCAGAATTCAAGGGTTGGTCAGGTATTCGGAACCACAACATTTATTATTTTTTAGGCCTTAGCGAGTGGGTAATTGAGAATGTTTACATATTCCTTAACTATTTCGACATTCATATGTGCCACATGACCATTTAGGCATTTCTCCCATCTACCTTCCCAGTTAAATCTAAATATATGTAGTTTTAAGAAATGTCTTGATGACTGACTTTTAAACTGTATTTTCTTCACAACACTACTGAATAAAACCACCACGAGAATTCATTTGTCTTTATATTTTATACTGGTCATATGTTCAATAAAATATTTGTTTGTTTGTTGTTTAATGCTGCACTCGGCAATATTCCAGCAATAAAACAGTGGTCTGTAAATAATCAAGTCTGGACCAGTGATCAACAGCATGAGCATCGATCTACACCACTGGGATACGTAACGTGTGTCAACCAAGTCAGCAAGCCTTACCACCCGATCCCCCATCTGGGTTGTTGAAGACCAATTCTAACCTGGATCTTCACAGGTTCAACAAAATGAGTAACTGACTGACTGAGTTTGGTTTTACGCTGCTTTTAGCAATATTCCAGCAGCATCACGGCGGGGGGACACCAGAAATGGGCTTCACACATTGTGCCCATGTGGGAATTCGAACCCGGGTCTTCGGCGTGACGAGCCAAAGCTTTAACCATTAGGCTACCACCGCCCCACAAAATGAGTAAAGTCACGTAATGCAGGTAACTGCTAACATGATATGTAAACAACTTGTCAGCAGAAGGTGACGGTAGCCCCAGAAGTGTGTTGGGTATTTTAAATTCGAATCAAAACAAATACCCTATTGAAATTCCTTTTATCCTTTACAAGATCCCAATCAATCATGAGTTGACAATAACATGGCACTAACGAGTTCTAAAACAGAAGGACTGTCTTCAGAATGGCACTATGTTCTATCAGTTGACTGTATTATCTCTGAGGTTGGCGGAACAAATTTCATTCCTTCAAGTTGTGACACATTCAATCCTTGTCAAGTAGAATGAAACTGCCCAGGGTTAAATGCACAAATGATACGATCAGTCCAACAGTCTTTATGTTTGTAAACATCTGCATGTACACATTTCTTCAATCTTTTAAACACATCCACACACACATTGAATAGTCTATCGTTTCTTGACCACCTCCTCCTCTGGTTCATACTGTATCGAGGGGGGATTTGAAGTTGAAAAGTTTGTCGTGGAAATACTCCTCTGGGACTTGTTGGTCGGAGTCGTCGGGGAACCACGTGGGCATGGGGGGTGGGGCGTCTGGGCTGGGCTTGCGGAGAGGCAGCACAGTGTCCATGACCCTGACGTACGTGTGGTTCTCCCCCGGGATGCAGGAGCTCTGGACGTACAGGATGTTGTACTTTGTGTTGATACGCCAGATCTAAAGCAGAAGTGAATGGATTCATTAGCATTCATAATTAAGACTGGAACAGTCTTCATTTTATTGTTGTGAGTGAGTGAGTATTGTTTTATGATACCTTTGGCAATATTCCAGCAATTTCACATCAGATATGGGCTGCATACAAAACGAGTTTGATGTGATACATAGATACGCATCTGGTATGCTCAAAATGTGGGGCAATGGGGAAGCCTAGTGGTTAAAGTCATCATGCCGATGACCCAGGTTCGATTCCCCACATGGGTACAATGTGTGAACATAGGCGGATCAAGAGGGGGGTTGCAGGGGTGTGCACCCCACCTTTTGTCCAGAAAGTTTGTTCAATGACCATTGAAACTCAGGTGAAAATAAAGTGTGCAGGCCCCCCTCCCCCTTCTGTGTGAAGACCATTTCTGGTGTCCCCCGCCATGATATTGCTAAAAGCGGCGTAAAACTCAACTCAACTCAACTCAACTCACTCACTCCAAATGGACGTAGCCAAACATGCTACTCTACAGGACACTTATTTATTATAAGAAAGTAATTAATCAGAGGGGACTGGACTAGTAGTTTTGTAGGTCAAGGTCAAACCTTGCACACAGTAGCCATGTGGGGTCTTTGGAGTGTCGAGTGAACACTTCAGCCACTATAGTTTGGCATGAAATGCATGTGGACCCGTTTTTTTGTAAATATCTCTTCATCCAATGACCCAATCGATCTCAAACTGTGCAAGTGGATGTTTTGTCAGACAACCTAATCACATTGTAAATCACCGATTTTATGCATTTGTATTAAAGAATCTGTCTATGTAACTGTCAACAAAATAAACAGCAGAACGCAGACGGCTTGCAGAGGGAGGGAGCCAATGACCTGTAACAGCGGCAGTGTTGGGTCATAAAGGTAAATGCACGTGCAGTTCATGATAGTTACCTGTGCACTGCACAGTGATAGACCGTTTGGATCATTCACATTGACTACTTCTAGCTGTCATCATGAAAGCTTAGTCAGATGTTGCTAAACGTTTAATTAGAAATGCGTTGAATTCTTTTTAAAAAGAGAGCAAACGTACAAACCGATTTATAAGGTGTCGGATTACATGAAACGTACAACTTTTGCTCTTGGCATGAAAAAGAACAGCGTGCTAAAAATTGTGAAAAATAAACCAACAACCAATAAACAGAACCTTGTACAAAAAGGTAGGCATCCAAAGTTAGATTCTTTTGACATCAGGGTCATCAGAGATGTCATTCGCCGGCTATTTGCTAGAAATGAACACCTCTTCATACCTGTCATGTGCATAGCTGACCTACATTGACGAACGTTGACCTTTATGACCCAACACTGCCGCTGTTACAGGTCATTGGCTCCCTCCCTCTGCAAGCAGTTTGCGTTCTGCTGTTTATTTTGTTGACAGTTACATAGACAGATTCTTTAATACAAATGCATAAAATCAGTGATTTACAATGTGATTAGGTTGTCTGACAAAACATCCACTTGCACAATTTGAGATCGATTGGGTCTTTGGATGAAGAGATATTTACAAAAAAACGGGTCCACATGCATTTCATGCCAAACTATAGGCTACTCCACTTCCCACAAGTTTTCTTATAACATACAGAGATACAATACATGTAGTTTGTTTTAATGTGCCCCCAACAATAAATAACATTTGTCTTGTTATTTAAGTTGAATGTCACACTACGCAATGTGTGTGACAGGATCCTGTAATGACCGAATCTGGATCTGAATCAAGGTACGAGGACACGGTATCGACCATGCAGATCTATTTGGTCACCTCTTATGACCAGCTCATGTCAGCAAGCAGTTGGGAACCACAATGTCTTTCAATATTGAACGTCCAAGCCAGGATTCAGTATATGCGATAGTGGTTTGAAAAGTCTCACCCTGAGGCCCTTGAGGACCTTCCATTCATTCCCCATGTGGCCAGGCATCTTCTTGCCCTTCCAGATACCCCCCTTGTCCTGCCAACACAAACCTCCATTACTTGGATACTCACAGTTGAAAGCAAGTTTGTCATAATCAGCAACTTTCTTGTTTGTACGGCTAATTCTACTTCAACGGAGATGTTGTGATAGCTGAAGATATGCTTTGTGTTACATTAAAATTAACTAAATCAATGATAAATTGAAGCCAAGGTAACTTTCTATGACATAGTATATCACTTCCTGTGAAAACATTACCACATTACCATTGTTGAAATGATATAATTCATACAATGAGCATCAGCGTAAGGTTGAAGCTACTTACCCCACCACCTCCTATAGATCCCATCCTTCTGTGAGCCTTCGTGACTCCATGTGACTGACTCTGTCCCTTGAAGCCCCATCTCTTCACCACCCCCTGAAAGCCATGATCAACCCTGGAACACAACCACCAAGGGAGACAACTGAAGTACTGTGCGTGACACATACACTGTCTCTACAGCTCATCCATCTTTAGGGCAATATCAGTCAGTCACAGACCAGGGATCAGTGTCTGGGAATCAGGCACTAGTAAAAAGAGACTACTCTAATGTGATGTTGAATCATGGACTAAACATGCATGTTGACTCCCTTGATTCTCATGATGAGGAGGTTCACACAACGTGTTTACAATGTACAAACAGAGATTTGATACCTCAAACACATTATATTTTCATTCTACCATGACACAAAGTGAAAACACAAACTCTTAGGTCAATGTTTAGGTGTAAATTTTAAAACAATTTCTAAGTTTATTGATAGTTTTCCGTTGGAGATACACTGCATCGCTTCATGTAACTAATTTTCTTTTAAGGTTACGATTTCAAGAGCAAAATAATTGTTTTATGTGAATTTGATACCACCAGCAGACAATCAGATTGCAGGATTCTAAAATGTCACTGAAGAATCACCCATAAAGCAATATATTTGAAGAACTACTCAGTAACTAATTTTCCAAACTTTAAGAAATATTGAGGTTTACGTTTTGGCCTGGCAGTCGACGTAGTCCCCAACTCGGAAGTGCATAACATTCAAGGGTGTACCTGGAACAGACCACAGACTTAAGGTGAGTGAGGGAATCAGTATCAATACACCATTAGGACACAAGGCAATATGGCACTAATACATAGCGACTTTCAGTTCCATGTCACTTTCAGCAGTATATAAATCATACACTTGCATGAATCTATGTCAAACGTTGCCTATACAGAATAAAGAAGTTGTATATCCATAAAAAAGTGTCGTCATTCTTCATACAAAGATTACCCGTGAAGGTCTGGGTTAGAATATTGATCTTCAGTAACCCAAGCTTGTCTTAAGAGGTTACTAACTGGATTGGGCGGTCAGACTCGCTGACTTGGTTGACACGTCATCGGTTCCCAATTACGCAGATAGATGCTCATGTTGTTGATCATGGGATTGTCTGGTCCAGACTCAATTATTTACAGACCGCCGCCATATAGCTGGAATATTGCTGAGTACGGCGTAAAACTAAACTCACTCACTTATACAAAGATAGTTACTTAGTGTTTGGAGAAAGCCCTTAATGAACCAGTTAAAGACTGAAATCTACTTGCATAGCTATGGACCAATGATCATAATTGGAAAGAAACTGGAGTTTGAACCCCAGGAATCAGCAGATCCTGGTACAGATAAGGATTGGTAGACAAGAAACATCTGAGAAAATGTTCCACACTGTGCCTTTATTACTGTATATTACAAACAACAGAAGACAACTTTGTCAGTAAAGACGTCAAATTTGCAATTAAACATCACTAGACAAGATTATTTACCTTTTAAGTTCTAAGTTGTTTTTACTTGGCATTGTATTATTTGCAGGGATTAAGATTACCGTGTGTATTTGAGCTGGAAATAGCAATCAGCTGTGCACACATTTCCCGGCGATCAAGTTCCAACATGCACATGTACATAGGAAGGTTTCACAACACTATTACCAATATTGGAACAACACTAAACTAAAAGAATAGGCATAAAACATTGCTGCCATGTCAAGCTGATGACAAGTCCACATTCGTACAACTAGGCTACCCATATGACCTTTTCTTGACACACAAACACTTATATTATTTCATGAGGTTGAGTGAGTGAGTGAGAGAGTGAGTATGCTTTTACACCCCTTTACCAATATTCCAGCAATATCACGGCAGGGGACACCAGAAATGGGCTTCACACATTGTACCCATGTGGGAAATCGAACCCAGGTCTTCTGCATGATGAGCGAACGCTTTAACCACTTGGCTACCCCAGCGCCCCCTCATGAGGTTGAAGTGAAATGGAGTTTAATGTCACATATATGATTATTCCACTCATAAGGAGCATGCACTCATGTGTGTGGCTGATTGTACGAAATTGGACAATCTGTAAGAGCAAGCCCATTGTGATATCATACTGTAGTTAAACATGGCTACCCAACTCAGACATGGACCCCAGTATTCGTCTTAATACTGAGTTCCAGGCAGGCTAACAACACCTACCATCTTCTACGTCTTTAGGCAGGACGCTCTTGGGAATAATTGAGGTCATTCAACCATGGTTGCCCAAAAATTTTAATATCATTGTTATATTTGGGATGCACTTTCTTGGCATTGTGTAATCATTTTAATATGACATCAAACTTTTGAACTTTTTCATTAAAATGTGTCACCATGACTACAAGAGCAATGACATACCTGGCTGGACTTTTGCATTTTCTGTAACAAGGAATCTGGTGAGTCTGCGTTTTGGTGGGACGCCTGCTTCTGCAAACAGGTTGTTGTAGTCCTTGGAGAACTGTGAACAAACAATATAAGGTCTTGCGTGCTGCATCACTTCATGAGTGAGTTGGTCTTAGTTCACAGTTATGAAGGTGTCAGCTTACTGTAGGAGGATAGTCTGAAGTCTGTTTGCTGGCACCCACAAGCACAGTTATGTTACAGACAAACTAAGGAACTTGATCATAAACCATGACACATACAGTGCTTCGGTACACCAAGGGAGGCAACTCTGTACAGCTGAAGTTTTCCTTGATAACGGCCACTTATGAACCCATCGAGTGTTGAAGTGAAAGTTCTAAGACAATGTAGCCAGCAATTTTCCAGCCATATGATAACTGTCTATAAATAAATGAGTCTGGAAGAGACAAATTCAGTGATTGACGTCATGAACATTAGTCTACGCTATTAGTTTAGTTTTACGCTTTTAGCAATATTCCAGCTATATCACAGCAGGGGACATTGTGCCCATGTGGAGAATCGAACCCAGGTACTCAGCGTGACGAGCGAACACCTTAACCACTAGGCTAGCCCACCGCCCCAACGCCATTAGGAAATGATTATATATATCAACCATATCAGAGCTTCACCACCTGATCCTGTCAGTCAGATCCCGTTAATCAGCTCTGATAACAAGCATGGTTGCTGAAGACCGATTCTAATCAGATAATCCAGATCAGTTGACCAGCAAGTTTAAAAATGTAATAGTGAGCGAATGGATTAATATGACGCCATTACCAATATGCCATCAGTATCACATCAGAGAACACCAGCAATGGGTTGCAATACTGTATCAGCGTGGGGAATCGAACCCAGGTCTTTTAGCATGAAGTGTTAACACTTTACCCACGAGGCTAGCCTTCCGCTCAAGATACCATAACTTATATACCCTATATATATAAACACATACAAGCAAACACATATTGGACACAATGCCTGACAAATGCAATGGAGATGTACAGTACCTCACTAGGATCGCAACTCAGAGCGCCAACCACAACGACACCATACTTGTTCTTCCACCATGGCCTCCATCCAGCAGACACCTGGTGTTTCTCCGGGGGAGTGTAGCGGATCACGTGGTTGTCTAGCACCTGGTCAAGTTGAGACAACATGCCAAAGTCAAGACTTGCAATATATGACGTGCAAGACTTGAAAGATGATATAACTTCTACATGATACAAGATAAGTAAACACAGATAATCCTCACGATCACCTGAACCACAAATTCTGGAGAGAATGTGCAAAAAGAAATTTCTCCCATACATAGATAAGTAAAATCAAATAAAAAACATGTTTGTGTGTTAACATTAACACAAGGTGTAATAGTTAATGTTGCAGTGAGTGAATATGGTGTTATTCCGCTTTAAGCAATATTCCAGCATTATCACGGTGGCGACACCAGAAATGGATTTCAGTGTTGCAACCTACAATGACAATAAGTTGTCAATGAAAAGTTATCTTATTGCTTACTATTTGAGTGAAAGATGTTAAATAATATCTACGTGTCTTAAGCACAAAAAATACATTTGTAACTCAAACAACCTTTCTGTCTCTAACCAACTTACTGACATGTTGACACTGAAACAATTGCTAAAATATGATCTCATAACACAAAAAAATAAACCAGTCCTGACAGTTTAACAGAGGCCATTTGATAGAAACCAATCTGTTTTAAGCTGAGTTAAATTTGTAAGCCAAACAAAGGTGTCCTTTAAACACATGAATACCTCACCTGTAACATGGTGGTGAATATCTTCTGCCCACCTGTCGTCCACTGGGGAACAACACCTATCTTCAACGCCAGGACACCTGTCCGGAAAGTTCTGAAACATGTCTACACATATATGGAACTGAAATAACAATTTACATGTCAGTGCTATTTACTTCCTCTGTGGGGTGATGGGGTAGCCTAGTAGTTAAAGCATTGCCTCGTCATGCAGATGACCTGGGTTCGATTCCCCACATTGGTACATAGCTTGAAGCCCATTTCTGGTGTCCCCAGCTGTGACATTGCTAGAATATTGCTAAGAGCGGCGTAAAAGTAACTCACTGCTTCCTCTGCTTGAAGGTTTTGTAAACACTGAAAGTCTGTTTTCATCTTATCATCATGATCACATGACTATTTTCAGCATCAGAAATTAATGGGGTGCTATGGAGTCAATGAAGGTTCCTGTCGCTATGGTCACTGAACTGTAACTGAATTTGGGAATCATTATTAATTACTAGTTTGACCTGGCCTACATTTTTGTGGAAGCTACGGTAGTGGAGAGGGTGAGACGGCTGACTTTGTGAGCTGGCGATTAGGTGCCTGACACTGAGGTGTGGGTTCGAATCCCACAGGGGATTCAACCCTAAAAAAGTACTAAAGTACTGTTGGAAATAAAAAAAACACCTGTTTTTTCGCATTTATATCTTCAATTTATGTAGTTAATATGTGAAAATGTGAAATATCTGTTCAACTAAGTTCGGCCTAACTACAGTCTCAGTGGTAGGGAGATAAGAAATGTAGACAAAAGGACTTTACTGAAGAGAGATTAGTGCAGAAATGAGCAATGCAGTCGAAAGCGACTTATTTGTAACAGACCATGGCTTTATGCAAATTAGTGTGCGATGATATTGTATTACAAAGGAAACTTTTTAAATGCCCATTTTGAAATTAAAATTAGCTTCATTATAAATGATAGCTGACGTAACAAATAATAACTTTAAGACTAAAACTATTAAGGATGAAGCTACCACGGAGTCTCACTATCACTATAAACAGAAACAGGTAGGAGGGGTCGTCTCAAAAGCAACACCAGGACAGTTGTCGCTGACGGCGGTGGGGGCGGGCTAGGGGATAGAGATATCCGCTAAGATGAGATAATTCTTTAGGGGAATTAAACTGGGGCAGTAAACAGCATGTCATAACAATTTACAAGAATGTCCAGTCCTGTCGATCTTCGGGTGGTCATGTCACCTATATATTCTTAGACATTTAATATGAGGGCTAATTTAAAGGTCACATGCAACGTGAAACACAAGTTTTCAGATTCTGATACCTTTCGGTATGGACTTACAGATACAAATCATCAAAAATGCAAATTCAACTTATAAAGTTGAAAAATAACATGATGGAAAACACACACACACACGAAATCGGAGTTCAAACGATTAACTAAATTCACCCCAGCTTGGGGTGAAAAGTGGTTTCAACAGCTGTTTAGCGCAGCTTGTAAGGGGGATGTCCGGATTATAAGGTCGTGAGCAGGAGTAGTCTTATCAAATCAAATAGTAAATAATCTACTCGTTACATAAAAGAACCTTGTTAGGATCTTGATCTACTCAGCTATGTGTCAACCAGTGAGGCGTTCAACATTTCAAGACGGAAAACCTTCGCTGGCGGTGAGTACTCGGTGAAGGCTTTGATGTGAGCTATTTTTCTAATGTTTTGTTGATATTTCACAGGCACAAGCTTTTTATATGTTATGACAGTAGATTACTGATTTAACTGTTCATATAATTTCATTTGTCTATTTCACCACACGTTCTTCTTACTGAGTCACTTTCTCAGTTTGATACTTAAAAGCAATGTCATTATTCAGCATTCACAGAAGTTCTAACTGTGATATAGATATGTCTTTATCACAGACAAAACTCAATGTCTGTTTTATTGAAACCTATGTGTCTGCCTGCCTGTCTGCTAATGACAATATGCAATACACAACTTCGATCACTGACCACATGCAATTTGAACTAAACACCTATCAGGCTATACACCATCAAAAAAACGCATTGATTTATGGCTCGTGCACCAGAGTTCGGTCTCTGTCACATTTTGTAATTACACAGACAGGCAGGTGTGATACTTGTACACATGACACGTTATGATGTCTGTTGATTGCAAAATGTTATACACAAAAAATGAGCATGTAGTTACAAAACCCAACATCTCTATTTACACACACACAATGAGCCGTGAGGGCATCTGCAAACAAACCAGCCAATCAAAGCTTTGTTACACTTGAGTGCACGCCCACCTGCTCTGACTGGGTTCGGTATCCCGGGTGCTTCATTTCGGGGGAAGTAAACCCAAGTACAAAATATTGCACTGTTGATTTGCGATTGTATGCTTATAATTTTGTTTATATGTTTTTTCATAATCAGCAATGTATATTATATGTCATGAATAAGTGATAATTGTGTTTTAATTATGTTTGATTTTTTGGTTGCATGTGACCTTTAAGCTTTTCTATGGGTATCATGGGCTTTTACATATCTCAACATAAACTTTACGAGAGAAAGACACGTAAGATGTTAATCAATAGATGAGACATATAGAACGCACATGAAAAAGCATAAAATATCTTTGAGATGACCCCTTGTGCCTGTATGCAGCACATGCATTTTATGCCAGGTGAGTCGACGGTCCGTCGTCATACCTGGCTGAGTGACCTAAATGCCATCTATAGTCTGATCTATTGTTTTCAGCAGCTATTCGTACTTTTTCTAAGTTTTGCCTGATTTTACGAGGAAACATGCTTTTCAGGATATCCTATTACGCATCCTACTGAATGCTCAGTTAGGCTGATGTGGGTTATTTCGACATATGCTATTTGCAATTGTGTAAATTTTAGGGATACAGAGTAACAGAATAAAAACAGGTTTTTTTCTATTTCCTACAGTACTTTAGAATCTGTACTTTACTGAGAATGTGTAATCCAAAATATAACATGAGCTACAAACATTACTCCTTGGGCCTGAAATAAAATACAAAGGCAACATCAATCTGAAGCAGTTAGTGTCTTTATGTTGGCCTCTCCATTGTAACTATCTGTCTGTCTTGTCTGTTGGTCTGTGAGCAGAGCAGTTGGAAACCCTCTTTGCTCTAGACCCATTGATAAAACAAAGATTACCCTTACTTCATGCTGATTTATATTCCAGTTTACCCATATTTGTTTTTTATTTAGAAAGTGTTAAACATCAATAATTGGTACCATTTTGTGCTTTTTACTAAAATAAAGCTGACCTGTTGTGTGATAAGTGAAATTCTGTGAGAAAGCTATTTACCTTTTTGTATACTCTTCCCGTGGCCAGGGTTCATCTCGGAGTGGACTGCTGCTTGTTTTGAAAACATCTACGGCCAATTCTTTAAGGAAATCCCTATTTTCCCGGGTCAGATCTTGGTTGTTTTGTGTTGGTTTCACACGTACAAACCAAGATGGTGGGGTGGATGTACGTTTTCGTCCCCTTGTTTGTTGGTGGTTGACGAGGATTCTAGGAATCACAAGAACAAAATCTGTGGTAAGAATCAGTTTACCTGTTTGTTGTATGGGACACAATAATAATAATAATAATGCACTATTATAGTGCCAACCAGTGCTGCTCAGTGGCCCTTTGACATACAAACCCAGCTGGTAGAAACTGCAAGGCAATGGAGATTAATCAAAGAGAGTCTTGAAAGAGATGTATTTTGAAGAGTTTCTTGAAGAGATATGTTTTTAAGAGTGTCTTGAAGAGATGTGTTTTGAAGAGTGTCTTGAAGAGATCGAGGGTTGCTGCAGATGTGATGCTGACAGGAAGAGTGTTCCACAGAGCAGGAGCAGCAGCAGAGAAAGCTATGTCTCCCTTGGATGTCTTGGTGACTGGAGCAGATAACTGACATGTTCTGATCTCAATGATTTTGCGGGTGGGTATATCATATGCATATGATATCCTTAAGGTATTGTGGTGAGCTGGTGTCATTCAAGGTTATGTAGGTGATGTAGAGGATCTATACAAATCATAATGGAAACTGTGATAAGTATCTACTATCCACTTCGCAAAACATTGAATGAAACCATGGATGCCCAGTTCCATAGAGAGACAAAATGACACACAATATGCCAAGTCACCACCCCATGGAAATGTGGAACCTATTTACCAATAAAATGTCACTTGACATCATTTTCAGTAGAAAGTCAGTATAGAAATCAGTGGCATCTGATCATGCTGACGTATCTGAAAAATATAATGGTGGAACTAATGCAATAGAATTACATACTTCAATATGACTCAAAAGAACTCTTCATAAAAGTCAACACACACTTGGTTGAGGTTTCAGATTTGAGCATTGTGTTTGGGGGTTTTCATTTATTGTGCACTTTGAAATGTTTCAGATGTATGACAACAATCTGGAAGCAACAGACTATCCAGTGATTAACATAATGAGCATCGATCATCCACAAGTAAAGACATGAAATGAAACATGTCATCGAGCCTGATCACCTGATGCATTTAGTGGCCTTCTAAGCAATAGGCCTATATGAAAGAGTCAGGGGAGTACTGCACTTTACCGGGCTCACTTTTTCAGATTAATTAGCGCTGTTAATTAGTGACGTAATGAGCAGACCCTCTACCTCGGGGCCACGATAACATCACAGTTAATGAGTGCTCGTTTAACAGGTCATTTGCACAGAAGTGAGGCGGAAGGGCAAGAAATTAAAACAAACCAAGCGCAATGGTTTGTGTACATTTCTCACTTCCGCCTCACTGTGCCATGCCCTTCCCATTCATTCTTTTTCGCGCCATTATTTCTTCGACTGCACTGACAAGTACCGGATGGATCGAAATGTGTTTCAATTGGATATAATAGGATTACACTGCCCTAAGGTAAGGTCTAACCCTAAATAAGGATCGGAAAAGGGTGCCTAACCCTAAGGAATCAGAAAGGTTCCCAAACACTACCCCACTCCCAACCCTAAGGGATCAGAAAAGTTCCCAAACCCTACCCCAATCCCAACCCTAAGGATCGGAAAGGATGTTAACCCTAAACCCTAAGGATCATAAAGGATTGTTTGACTCTAAAGATGCGTCAGCTCCCTAAGGATCGGAAAAGGTGTTAACCCTAAACCTTAGGATTGTAAAGGGTGCCATACCTTAACCCTTAGGATCGTAAAGGGTTGTTTGACTCTTAAGATGCGTCAGCTGCCCAAGGATCGGAACCCTAAGGATGGCTGACTGGCAAGTGAAGGGAGATGGAGCAATAACAGCGATATAGCGAGACAGCGCAGTAGCGCTATAATTGCCGAGCAGCCAGCAGTGAGGGCTGCGCCCGGTAAAGTGCATTCTGGCCAAGAGTCAAATCAACTCTACTGAGGTAACCTGTTATCTCCCTCGGTTTCACCTGTGGACTTATTCTTATGTTAGAATTTGGCAATGGCATTCCTTGAGCCACTAGAGGTCAGGGCTCCACATTTAATCGTGTTTATCCACAACACATCGACGGTTGGTTAAGCTGAACAGAATAAAAGTCATTGACCAATACCTTGGAACTGACAAAGTGTCCTTGAGAATGCAATTATTTACACAATTTGATGCACGACATAGCAGACTTCCATATCTTGCGGAGGCCATGCTTAGCCAGTCAAATACCGCCTACATGCAAAATGGATTTAAAATATGCTGTGAACATGATACTGTATGTGTAAACAATTTCAAATAATCGCGAATATACATGTGCAGTAGTGTATGTACTAAAATCGAGTAAAACTGTTGTAAAATTAGTATTTGTTGACATTTGAGTTTGTTAGAAGCGGTAAAATTCAAACGGAAATGAATATCATGTAAAAACAGGAAGAAACGGGTCCAATATTTGCATGTTATTATCCCATTATTCAGTCTCAAATCACAATTATTTTAGGACCATGAAGACACTACAGTATATAATATGCCGGTATTCCTGCAAATACCAATATGGTACGTACAATCACGATACTTTTGATAAAATAAAACTTGGATTTGCGCGGATCACATTCGTCCGTTTAACGAAATTCACCACGTGCGAATTGTACTTCCTGTTTACAATTCAGTCGTGCTTTGCCGCTTCGTATATAGACTGTCATTACAAGACAAGCGGAGATAACAACATTCCCAGAGCCTTTGAGTGTTCATACCGGCAAACCCTTGGTCAGTTTGATTTGAAAGTTGTCAATAAAATTTTGACAAACACAATTGAAGCTTCATTGACTGAATGTTGAAGGGTTGCATGACTGTTGCAAAAGTCGGACTGAGCAAAGACGTCTTTGGACTGAGGATGACATATAAAATCATTTAGTGCCCTGAATCCTTAGCCCTTGGAAAGGGACACAAGAGCAACAATTTCCGCTTTAACTTTACATCATGTTCAACATTGATCACTATCCTAATAAAATGGAGCTCAAAATGTACATCCACTCATAATCAAGACACAATAAAACCCTGTCAATGTCATTAATGATAAACAAGGCATTTAAGTTTAACACGGATTTGTGAATCATACTTAAATTTGGTACTGTATTCAGCTCTTCATCATAATATTGAACTCAGACTCTGGTAGATTTTTCACATTGTAACACGATTAAAGAAATGTTAAAAGTAATTTCAAAATTTAAGCAGGACCTGAATGTTATTATAAATGACAGATATTATTTACTGGTTTGAGTTTGATTTAGACCGACATTGGCAGTTTTGACTCCCATTTGTTAATACTGTATAATCATTACTATTTTTGTCTGTTAATATGCCAAGTTAAATAAAATGCTATACCTTTAGTTTAGAACCTCCTGGCTCCATGACAAGATCAGTCTAGTATGGAGGCAACTCAACTGGCAAGGCTTCGACAGGAGCAAGATAAAGCCATAGAGGAGACAGAGAATAAAATAGCACAATGGTAAGTGACAGCAATGATATTCATATATAACAGTGTATTACACTATTTGGAAAGATGTATGAAGTTTCTTGGCGAAAAATTCAAAGGAGACGAGAGGCTAAATATAGTTAAAACAATGTTGTCATTGTGGATTTGAAGTTAATTTCTAAGAATCAGAAAATAGATATTTAAGCAACAATACAACCTAAATATGTAGTAATAATGTAGTCGAATTTGAAACTGACAAATATATGCATTGCATATTTACATGTCAAACAGCATTCCTTGGTAGAATTGGAAGGTGAATGATGAGCGGATATCTATACCAGTTGTGAAAAAATGGCAAACTATTTCTTTTTGATAATTGAAAATGTTATTATGTTTTGATATTTGTGTGGTATGTTGTCCAACTCCAACTGAATTAGCCAGTGGTGACAGGCATAAACTGATCCTATTATTATCCCTTGATCATCCTAGGCAGCAGTACAAGTCTGACTATGAAGCTCTACACCGCAGACTCAAGACTCTCCCTGACAAAGTGGAACATGAGGTTATGGTATGTGCAGATTTCACTTAAACATGTTAAAGGGACGCAGTATGTCCTGAAAATTTACATTCCCCATTGGTCATGACATGCCCCTGTATAGCCTAACTTTCTTCCCACATGCAGGATACTTATAACATTAGACAGGCTGACAAGGTTTTGTGGGCTAGTGCCCAGCTGCATCCCTACCAGATTGCCTAACTCTTCACTTATTGGCTTGTTTTACTCATAGATCTTCATCAAAATGAAACTACCACCAGGATTCTGAAAAATGGGACACATAATTTTCAAAAATGGAGAATCCATTGATTAAGGGTTCCCTTGCACTGAGTTGCAGTCTGAACTGCTATATTATTTGTAATATACTTGATAAGATAAGTGTTGAAAAAAAACATGTTTCGATTCTAGATGAGATAGATGAAAGTAAATGAACTGCTGTGTAAGGGAGGTAACTCCATAAACATTTTTATCAACATGGATTTGATGTCAGGATATCATTGCGCCTGGTTAGTGGATGAAGCTGATCTTATTTGTTGTTAATTATTTCAAGTTTAAGGATTATTTTCATCTTAGTATATCCTGTGCCATGTTTGTTGGTGTCTGGTACAGATCCTGAAACACAACCACCCAAAACACCCAAGCCAGTCTACAATACTGTGACAAGTCTAGATTTCCCAATATAATTGAAGTATTCTTTGGGGTCTTTGCAGCAATTATTGTTAAAACAATGTAAAATAAGAAATATTTTCATCGCAGGACTACATGTTAGTCTTACATGTTTTGTTTCACTGTTCATGTAATTTTTGAATATTGGCAGGTGCCCTTTGGTTCCCTTGCCTTCATGCCAGGGAGACTGGTGCACACCAATGAGGTGATGGTTCTACTGGGAGACAACTGGTTTGCAGAGAGATCAGCCAAACAAGCTGCAGAAATTGTATCCAGGAGGATCAAAGGTAGATAACTGTTCCTGGAAAGAATCCTCATTAATTCAATAATCTGTTATGTTAGTGTAACCTAATGATCCCAGTAGCATCAATATGTGGTCTGAAAAAAGTACACTGCTTGTCTTGTCCCAAGCAGAAGTAAACATATTTATGATTTTCTGAAGGACCTTCAGTGACAGTTTTGTCGTGAAGCCCAAGCCTTAATAATCATTTTACTTTGTTTCAGTCAATGATTGAGGCATATTGACCGCATCTCACCGTGGTGTAGTGGTTACATATTCGTCCTTGGCGGAGCAGAGAGAAGGTGGAAGGTCAGCGATCCCGACCGCGTCATACCAAAAACCGTTAAAATATGGTACTGGTTGGTCCCTGCCTGGCGCTCGGCATTAATGGGTACAAGGACTGGTCGGCTCGGAGTCAGTATAATGTGTCTGAGTGGGGTATTCATGCTTCACTGCGGCGTGGTAGCTCAGTGGGCTAGCACTATAAAACCAGCTTAAGTCTGGGCTAGTACAAGCAGCCGCACATACACATACACACGCATGCATGTCGTCATATGAGCGAAATATTCTCAAGCACAACGTCAAACCCAATTCCACCACCACCTCCTACATATTAATAACTATTTATCAGACAGAAATTTGGTTTGTGTTTGCTGTCAATTATGAGCAACTGTCCAGTCCATTGGGGTATAAATTGTATCAATCAAGCCACTGATCTGACCACCCAATCCACTAAGTCATCTCTGTAGACAAATATGAGTTGCTGCCGACTGGTTCTGTGCAGGAACCATAATGGGGATGAGATCATATGGATTCAAAGTCTGTGACACCAACACGTCCAGGAAACACTGGAACAGCACAGGTCTTTGAAACCTTGTCTGTTAGCATTGTGTTTACGGTACTTGTGCACAATCAAGTTATCCAGCACAAAATGAGAAACTGGATTAATGTAATAAAAACATGGCTTTGTGGCAGCTGTCGAAGTCAGCCTGGAGAAGTTGACAGAGGAGAAGAGGCTGTTGACGCCACGCCAAGTCTTCACTCAGGAGTTGGAGGAGTTGGTGAGGACATGGCTCAGGTGAGTGTACAATGTACACTGTACAGGTGTTCAAGAAGGCGTGGGTCAGGTGAGTGTACAGGTGTTTACTAAAAGAAGAGTGAGGGAGTGTGTTCAATGTACACTGTACAGGTGTGTCACTCAGTGGACGTGGGTCAGGTGTTCAGGTGTTCACAAGAAGGCGTGGGTCAGGTGAGTGTAGTCAAAAGACATGACAATGTACAGTACAGGTGTTCACTACTAGAAGTGGGTCAGGTGAGTGTACAGGTGTTTACTAGAAGACAGGTGTTTACTAAAAGTGAGTGAGGTGAGTGTTTTCAATGTACACTGTACAGGTGTTCACTAGAAGACGTGGGTCAGGTGAGTGTACAGGTGTTCACAAGAAGACGTGGGTCACGTGAGTGTACAGGTGTTTATTAAAAGACATGAGTGAGGTGAGTGTGTTCAATGTACACTGTACGGATGTTCACCAGAAGGCGTGGGTCAGGTGAGTGTACAGGTGACTAAAGACATGTAGGTGAGGTGTTCAATGTACACTGTACAGGTGGTCATGGGTCAGGTGAGTGTACAGGTGTTTACTAAAAGACATGGGTCAGGTGAGTGTACAGGTGTTCACAAGAAGAGGTGGGTCAGGTGAGTGTACAGGTGTTTACTAAAAGACATGAGTGAGGTGAGTGTGTTCAATGTACACTGTACAGGTGTTCACTAGAAGACGTGGGTCAGGTGAGTGTACAGGTGTTCACAAAAAGACGTGGGTCAGGTGAGTGTACAGGTGTATGTTCAGTGTGTACACTGTACAGGTGTTCACTAGAAGACGTGGGTCAGGTGGGTCAGGTGAGTGTACAGGTGTTCACAAGAAGACGTGGGTCAGGTGAGTGTACAGGTGTTTACTAAAAGACATGAGTGAGGTGAGTGTGTTCAATGTACACTGTACAGGTGTTCACTAGAAGACGTGGGTCAGGTGAGTGTACAGGTGTTCACAGGAAAGCGTGGGTCAGGTGAGTGTACAGGTGTGTACAGGTGTTCAAGACATGAGTGTCAAGGTGAGTCAGGTTCAGTGTACAGTGTACAGGTGTTCACTAGAAGACGTGGGTCAGGTGAGTGTACAGGTGTTCACTAGAAGACGTGGGTCAGGTGAGTGTTCACTGTACAGGTGTTCACTAGAAGACGTGGGTCAGGTGAGTGTACAGGTGTTCACAAGAAGACGTGGGTCAGGTGAGTGTACAGGTGTTCACTAGAAGACGTGGGTCAGGTGAGTGTACAGGTGTTCACTAGAAGACGTGGGTCAGGTGAGTGTACAGGTGTTCACTAGAAGACGTGGGTCAGGTGAGTGTGTTCACAGGTGTTCACTAGAAGACGTGGGTCAGGTGAGTGTACAGGTGTTCACAAGAAGACGTGGGTCAGGTGAGTGTACAGGTGTTTACTAAAAGACATGAGTGAGGTGAGTGTGTTGAATGTACACTGTACAGGTGTTCACTAGAAGACGTGGGTCAGGTGAGTGTACAGGTGCTTACTAAAAGACATGAGTGAGGTGAGTGTGTTCAATGTACACTGTACAGGTGTTCACTAGAAGACGTGGGTCAGGTGAGTGTACAGGTGTTGACTAGAAGACGTGGGTCAGGTGAGTGTACAGGTGTTCACAAGAAGACGTGGGTCAGGTGAGTGTACAGGTGTTCACTAGAAGACGTGGGTCAGGTGAGTGTACAGGTGTTCACAAGAAGACGTGGGTCAGGTGAGTGTACAGGTGTTCACTAGAAGACGTGGGTCAGGTGAGTGTACAGGTGTTCACAAGAAGACGTGGGTCAGGTGAGTGTACAGGTGTTCACTAGAAGACGTGGGTCAGGTGAGTGTACAGGTGTTCACTAGAAGACGTGGGTCAGGTGAGTGTGTTCAGTGGACAGGTGTTCACTAGAAGATGTGGGTCAGGGTGAAGTGAGTGTACAGGTATTCACTAGAAATGGGTCATTAGAGTTTACAGGTGTTCAGTGTACAGGTGTTCAGTGTAAAGATGTTCGCTAGAAGACATGGGTCAGGTGTAATAAATGTTGTAAAGTCATGTATGTTTTCTGAAAACGTGTAAATAAATATGCTGGAAAATCTCAGGTATGTTAATATTGCCTGTGACGTTAGTGTCCATTCTTTTCAGGGATCATCAGATATGAAGGAAATTGTAGAAAAATATGATTCTGACACAGAAAGAGAATGGCGAGGTAAGATTGGGAATTTTGTTATTCTTTATTTTCATTGGCCGTGATATTGCTGGAATATTGCTGAAAGTGGTGTTAAACTAAACTCACTTTATTTTCGTTGAATCCATTTGTGTGGGTTCACAATGATATATAGTGAATGCAGCATCTGAATATGAAGAGACATAAAATATCTGCCTGTCACTGACTGTGTGGTCAAGGGGACATAACTCTTCCATCCCTGTTTTGGCATGTTTTCATATGTCTCTCAGTTCAACCGTTGTTTTGTCAGTGGAATCATCTCCAGCAGCCATTTGTAGCTCATTAATGTTTAGCATGTTTAGTTACATGAGTGTGTAACTTAATGACTTTCTAATAAATATGTCAGAATATTTCTGTGAGAATTTTATGAATTCAGTAAGAGATGTTGCTGTAATAAAAAAATAATGTTTTCTCTGAAAGCAGGATTATTGGGGTCAGCATGATGTTGACAGAAGTACTCTTGTCACAGTGCCTCACCTGGCTAGAATTAGTGCTCATGTTGTCATCCACTTGTTTACTCAAATGTCGCTGCAACATTAAAAAAGTGTAAACAGTTTTCGTTCACCCTTTCACCTTTCTAAGCTTGATAGGTTAACAGATTTCGTTATTTCTTCTTATTATTTTATTATCTAATTATTTGTTTGTTGTTTAATGCTAGCCAGATTTCAACCATATGATGATGGTCTGTAAATACTCAAGTCAGTGCCAGATAATCCAGTGATTGACATCATGAGCATCTATATATAGATGTGATACAATGACATGAACCAATTGAGTCAGCGATCTTGACCACCCAATGACATTATTAGATTCATGTGACTCAAGGGTTGCCAAGGATCAGATCTAACCTAGCTCTTCACAGGATCAGATCTAACCTAGCTCTTCACAGGATCAGATCTAACCTAGCTCTTCACTGGGAGACAAACGCAGTTGTTGGTGACTTTTTCTGACCCAGATCTTGAGGAGTTATCTTTTCATGTGATTGTTATGAACTTATGTTGTAGTCCAACATCGGAAGAATGTCCAAGTTTACCGAGAACAGTTACAACAGGACAAATCCAAACAACAGCCTAAGAAGAAACATGAAGAACCATTGAGTGATGATGCATTGTGGGCAAGGCTGGACGAACTCGAGAAGCAGGAAGGGGAACAGCAGGAATTTGACCAGTAAATTTTCTGCCCTTTTAGATTATCCTTTAACAAACATTTTAATATGTGTATTTTCCAGTTATGTGTTGCATCAACAAATGCAACACGCTACTTCTTTGTCAAGCTTCAGAAACACTGGCATGTACACCCATGCTTTGGGGTAAATGGCATTCTGCGTGCAATGGAAGAATCCACGTCCTGTCAACACAATACTGTATTGGAGTGTTACTTGGTTTGGAGTTCATGTACAATGTGTTTTGTTTGCTTGTTTGTTTGTTGTTTAATGCCGCGCTCAGCAATATTCCAGATATAGGACGGCGGTATGTAAATATAAGTCTGGTCCAAACAGTCCAATGATCAACATCATGAGCATCAAGCTACATAATTGAGATACGATGACATGTGTCAACCATGCCTGACCACTCGATCCCATTAGTCGCCTCTTATGACAAACATGGGTGTACAATGTGTAGTCATCAGCGTGCCACGTCCATAAATTGTGTCCTTGAAGCAGGTCTGAGAGTTCAGAAGTGTTGTGGTGGATTTCTTAGCTTGTCTGGTTAGAATATAATGCTAAATGTTATATAATCCTGAATCCCTTTTCATAGAATGGATGACGATATTGAAGAGGCAGATGTAACAACCAAGGAGAGACCTGCTAGTCCTCCTCCAGCCGAACAGCAGCGTCGGGTGTCGTGGGCAGACAAAGCAAAGCATGATGGGAGTGAAGAGGAAGAGGAAGAGGAAGAGAGTACGTCGGCCAGTGACTACGACACTGATACAGAGGAGGAGTTAGCTCGGAAACAGATGTCTCGCATAACCTTCACTCATTCTGGTCCGCAGAAGGTAGATCTAATACAGAATTACCTGGCCTATCTATCTATATGTCGTGGATGCTTTTTAGTGGCACAAACTATGAAATTATTTGGCACACACCTGCTTACGACATGTGGCATACATCATGTACATGATTCTCAAGCCTTTAATGTCATCTTATCATTTCAACAGGTTTGAAAAAATATTACTAACTGATAGGGGTGGGCGATAATAACAGTTAACCGGTATATTGCAATTCGAACTTCACAATACGATATATTGCAGTATACTTTTCGCGAACCGGTTCACCCGATACGATCGGCAATTTCTGTGAACATGACCGGTAATTTTCGTGATGTAGTAAAAATTACTAACAACATTTATATTTCCTTTCTATTATTATACGTCATTAGTTTGGGGAATGTTTATTGGTCATGCAATTGCATTTGCGTGACTATTAAACCATATAAATAAAAAAAGTACATCGAGTGCTGGTACCAAACATACCAAAATGGCGGGCGCGGCTGCAGACGCTTTTTCCAAACTTTAGAGCGAAGTCTTCAATTTGTTAACATTTTCAATTGATCGCTTGTACAATCATATCTGAGTCCTGACAGTGACCAGTGGCATTGTTTCAAAAGAAAGGAAACACCTTATACCACGTGTGACACTTCCACAATATATTGCAATACGTATTGCAATATGTGAACACGTATCACAATATATCGCAATACGAAAATTTTGGCAATGCCCAACCCTACTAACTGAGAAAAATGGAAACTGTACAGTCTCGAGCTTTATTGTATTTCTTAAATATAGCAATAGACAATGTAATGGTAATGAGTTTGTTTGAATGATTTGCTTTTCATCAAGAAGTCTGTTAGTGTAAAGGACAAAATCTTAATTGAAAACTGTTGCACAAATATGAATGTGTCCTTGGAACTGACTCAAAGTGTTTTAGTCTTTTAGTTTTTTTAATCTTTTAGTTAGTCCAGCATCACATTGTCTGGGGTTCAAGCCATGTGAAGACTTTAAGCAACAAAGAGATAAAACGTGTCATAAACACTGTGATTCAGTTCCTTAGTTTGACCATGACCACGGTGGTCAACTAAGACCTTTCTTCACATGTGAAACTGTCATTTTGGATGTAATTGAAACAGTGTTCAGAGCAAGATACAACTCACTCACTCACTCTACATCCTGACACAATGTATGCCTGTGTTTTCAGTCTTCATCTGAGGACACGGGTACGACCAACACAGGGAGCAGTGGTGAAGCCCCAGAGATTCAGAGTCCCAGTGACATTTATAAACATTTTCTGGACAATCTGCAGCCAAAGTCAATACTGAAGAAGAAGAAGACGAAAGAAAGAACAGTGCAGGAGAGAAAGGCAGCAGAGCTAGAGCGGGAGAAGGCAAAAGCCAAGGCTGCTGCAGATCTAAAGGTCAGTTTGTTTTCTCTCAGCAATGTTACAGGTAGTTTTTGGGAACCATTCATAATTCACGATTGCCTTAGTAGGTTGTATGATATTGTATTGATATTGTATGTCACAGATGGGGGGACACATATTTTCTTAAGCTTAAAGGAGGGGGCATTAAATTATGGGAGAAATTGTTTCTGGTCCATTTACTTTACTTACTTTTCAAAAAATGTTTTCTAACAGAAAAATGGAAGTCTTGTCAAAACTGAGTATGGTGTAACATGGCGTGGCATGTGTGGTGTGGTGTGTGCATTGATGTGTGTAGTGTTATGTGGTAATGTGTGTGTCAAAGTGCGGTAGAGTTATGTGGTGTTTGTGTTTCGCTATATTTTGCATGAGTTCCAAGAAGTACTGCCTTCTTGATAGTGTGACTGGTGATTCAGGTCTTTTGTTACAAAATACACAGGCAAATCAAGATCAGATCGATAGCTACGAGTCTATGAGGTACAGAATTTACCATACTACAACCTGCTTAACTCATAGACTTGACCATTATTACTTGGCAAACAGTTCCCAGTCTCATCATGTGCTTACATGGGAGATAACTCTTGGCACCAGATTTTCTCATTGTCAAACCAGACTCAATGAAGAGTCATAAAATCTCCCTACTGCCACTGCTTGGAGATACCCCTGTTGCACAAGATTGTACATTGTCAGCCAACATGAAGCGTCATATAATATATCTCCCTTATCAAACAAAGCTACATGACTATAATAAATATGAAGAACACAATTTTACTTAGCCTTTATTCCACACGTGTGTCTCATAGTGCGTCCTTTGGTCATCCATGAACCTAAGTCCCGCGTTATGGTGAGGGATGACCGTATCTCCCTGACTGTGTATGAAGATATACCCTTGATACCAGTTTTGAAACAGTATCTAACCATAACAATTTTGTGAAAACTTTATGAAGTGTCATAAAATCCCTCTTGCTACCTGACTATGGTAATAACATGTCCTAGGATAACCATCTTAGTCCCTGTTGAAGTGACTCCCCAAGCAAAGAAGATGTGTTCGGAGTGAATACCTGAGTACATTGCAAACCAGGATCAGGAGGTCACTGACTTGGTTGACACATGTCATCGTATTCCAATGCTGTTGATGCCCATGCTGTTGATCACTGGATTGCCTGGTCCAAACTAGACTACTTACAGAACAACACCATGTAGCAGGAATATTGCTGAGTGTGGTGTTAAACAACAAACACACAAAAACTATACACACAGAAAGCCAGTTCTTTACTGTCAGAAATTAATGACACCAACATCAGAATTCTACAGGAGGTTTATAGTGAAACATTTTTGAACACCAGTGTTACACCATAATATCATGCAAACCGTCATTTCATTACATTTTTACAAAAAGTATTATTTATGCTTTTAGAGAACCATTCAAACCACACCACCTCATAAACATTATATATGTTTATTTATCCAGTGTGGTAGTAGCAGCATATTAGACCAGTAAACATCTGCTCCCATAACCCTGAGGATAAATATTGCAGTTATCTCCCTTTGACCTGTCTACCCACAGCCTCATGCCTTTTGTTTTTTGATTGAAGTTTGGGATGGAAATTTGTCTAAAATGTTCTGCCTATTTTGGTACTTTCTTCAGACCGGAAATATTCTTAGGCTTTTCTCCTCCCAGTGATTGGCATTAAGTGTTGTTGTTATGAGGAAATATCTTGGTTGTTGATAGGCGTTGTTTTTCCTTCTATCAGTGTGAGATAGTTATCTATCTGTGAGTGAGGTGGCTCCTACATCACTTTAGTGATCTGGCCAAAGTGAAGTTAGGGACTCCAGGTTAGAACAAGTCCCCAGCAACCTACAGCTGGAATGTTGCTGAGTGTGGTGTAAAAAAACTAACAAAAGTAAATCGTGCCGTAAGGGGACACAAGAAATGTGTCACACATTGTGTGCATGAGAGGAAATGAGAGTGGGAGGCCAACACTTGAACCACTGTGCCACCTCGCTGTCCTTACTGACACCCTCTCTCGGCTGCAAAATCATAGCTATGTACTGCCCTTCCCTTACAATTTGTTATATCACCAATTGTGAAGCCCATTTCTGGTGTCCCCAGCCGTGATGTTGCTGGAATATTGCTAAAAGCAGCATAAAACCAAACTCAGTCAGTCAGTCAGTATATCACCAATACATGGTATCCAAAGCAGTAGACTTGACCTCTTTGTGATGACTGGTTCATTTCTTTTCACAATCAAAATATAGGCTGTGCTTATTGATAAATGGTTTTAGAAATGAGGGGTATAAATAAAAATATTTCTTGCTGTCCTCTCCAACCAGTGAGTTTAGTTTTACGCCACACTCAGCAATATTCCATCTATATGGCGGCAGTCTGTAAATAATCGAGTCTGGACCAGACGATCCAGTGATCAACACCATGAGCATTGATCTATGCAATATTGGGATAAGATGACATGTGAACCATGTCAGTGAGCCTGACCACCCAATCCTGTTAATCGCTTCTTATGACAAGCATAGGTTGCTGAAGAAGAATTCTAATCTGGATCTTCATGGGTTCAATGAGTTATAGCATTGTGTAGCAACCAGTAGATGTCCAACTGTACAAACAGAGCAGTCGATATGTATGATACTGCAGGTTGTTTAGAGGTTATGCTGCAACAAGTTTCAGTGCATGTTATAACTGGCGTAGCAGAGATATTTTGTGCTGCTAACAAGTTTCAGTAATATAGTTATATTAAGTCCAAAAAATGAACCAGTTTTATATGCTTTCCTGAAAATTAGCAAAATTTCATTTGATCAAATCAGTTGATTCTGTGTCTTTGATTCTGCATGGTTCTGTCCCTTTGTTGAGTCAGGATCTAGTGGTAATAGGTTCTACTCTGGATTTGTCCTAGTCTTGATATTTGATCATCTACCACCATACCTGAGATACTTTGACTTTCCTCTTACATTAACCAGACAATGTCAATATCACTGAAATACTGGTCATGGCAGTGGTATCCTCAACTCATGCACCTATCGTGTTGTCCGTTTAATCTAAAACCCTTCATATCAGAACAAAAGAGATTTTACTATTGCTGTGCATGAATAGAAGCTTCATTTTGGTACGACCGCCTCCGTGGTCTAGTGGTTAGAGCGTCCGCCTGTAGAGCGGAATGTCGCGGGTTCGATCCCCGACCGCGTCATACCAAAATACGTTAAAATATGGTACTGGTTGGTCCCTGCCTGGCGCTCGGCATTAATGGGTACAACAAGGACTGGTCGGCTCGGAGTCAGTATAATGTGTCTGAGTGGGGTATTCATGCTTCACTGCGTCATGGTATCTCAGTGGGCTAGCACTATAAAACCAGCTTAAGTCTGGGCTAGTACAAGCAGCCACACATACACATACACATGCATGCATGTCGTCATATGAGCGAAATATTCTTAAACACGACGTAAAACCCAATTTCACCTCACCTCGCCTCATTTTGGTACAGTTTATTTATGGTAACATTTGGACTTGACTCAATAAAAATAGGTAGAAATAGTTGCGAGGTTGTTGATGCAGCATAAAGCACCACTCTCTGAAATTAGAACAAAGCCAATAAGAAAACAGCAGCAAACTCCAGATGGAGTTTGATTTTTTGAAAATGTTAATACTTATGAATTATTTAGAAGTACTTTAAATAAAAACTGTTTGGATCGAGTTTGGTCAGTTTATTTCGCCAGTCCTCGGGGCACAGACTTGCTTTTTGGACCTGTGCTCTAATCTATTGATGTCTCTGCAGTAATCCTGGTATTGTAGACGGCCTGCTGCAACTTGATTGTCTAATTGCAGTCTTTATTATGAGGATTACTGCTCCTGCATGTTTACAATGCATTCACCAGCAGCTCATAATTGCCTGACAACTCCTTCTGTGTTTTACCACCTCAGGCTATAGCCTCCAATCAAACTGAGACATTTTTCAAAAAAGTTATTAATCTGTAACATTGCCTTAAGGAAAATAGCATCTTCTTTTTGTTATGTGTAAGTAGTGGTCAGACCTATGTGTTTTTGGGTATGGAGATTTAGCCAGGTGTGACAGTGTTTTTATTGCATGAACGGGGGGTTATGGATGGGGAATGGGGTCATGTTTTGTCTTTTTTGTGTGACTGGCGGTTTTATTGGCTCCGAGCTGTGCCATCTGTGACAGGAGGTAACTGTAAATGATATTTGACTTGGGTCGCCATCATGGAAAGTTTGAGACAGATTATTGTGGGAAGAGAACGAGATTAAAGGGAAGTAGGTGATCATGAAAATATGACACAGGAAAAGGGAGCCATAAAGAAATGACACAATTCATTTTTTTTTAAAATAAAATGGCTAAAGGTTTCAACATGATATAGGAACTAGTCAGTTATTGTAGGGAAGGGGTAATGTAAAATTGTTACATGTATTTGATTGGGTTGGAGGAAGGGCATGGATCTTTTTCACATAAAATGGGGAGATGGGTCTTTGTCAACAAAATATGATAAGTCAAATTTCCCAAGCCCACCCACACCGGCCCACTGCCCCACCCCTATAATAAAATACCAGTTCTTAAAGAACAACATTTGGGTTCTGGGAAACTTGAATCAGCAGAAGGTAACCTGTGTGATAACACTTTGTACATGTGATAACACTTTGTACATGTGATAACACTTTGTACATGTAATAACACTTTGTACATGTGATAACACTTTGTACATGTGATAACACTCTGTACATGTGATAACACTGTACATGTAATAACACTTTGTACATGTGATAACACTTTGTACATGTGATGTGATAACACACTTTACATGTGTAACATGTGATAACACTTTGTACATGTGATAACACTTTGTACATGTGATAACACTTTGTACCTGTTTTAGGCAAACTTTGCACAAGGAAACATATTAGATAGTGACAACATTGTTTAGCATGTGTACTTGAGATTGAACATATTTTTAACATTTCTATGTTTGGTGGAATATGAATAAATAATTATTCAAGATGATTTCAAGAAGGACATTAAACACAAATCAGCCCTGGCAACATACGTTTTGCCATTGTCCCAGAACATCTATACTAAAAAAGTAAATCTTGAAAATGGTGATTGCATTTCATCATTTGTATAAGTTCTTTCAACATGTTCAAACCTAAGACCACAGGCTCCAGTTACGTACACATGGAATATTAACGTGTGGTATTGGGATCTTTTTATTGGCATTTGTTTTCCTTTAATTCTTTTTGACCAATTGCGAAATGGAAAATGCAGTGTAAGTACTTTGTGAATCTTGAGTTATTCATAAAATCGATGAAAATGTAACTATTTGTTTTTATGGTTCCTGACTTGGCCATTTCTGATTATCAGTCACTGAGAATAATTTGACTGTCTGCCATTTTTATCTTTAGAATATAATTATTTTATTGCATGTTGTTCTCTTAGATGAACCTGAAGCTATACCCTGATGCCCATTCTGGTTATAATGCTTGAGACATAGGGATTACCCACAAACTGGGCCCTGTCTCATGTACTGGTCATTAACTGTCTGCATTAGAGGAAGAGCAACAGATGCAGCATAACAGTTAATTAGCGATCTATTTGCCACAAGGCAAAGACGGCTTGATTGGATGTAGTCTTAATTATATCTGATCATTATGTGTACAACTACAGTTAGGACAAACAAACATGCATAAGTTTTTGTACTTGTATTTGTACTTTGTATTTATTCACATATTTTAGCTCTGATTATTTTCTTTTTGTTTTGTTTTTTTAAGTCTTGGTCAGCAGGTGGGGAAAAATATATAGCAACCCATTTGGGATTTTATTTTTGTTCTTAAATATGAAACCATGTGTACAGTGTTATTCAGACTTGTCTCATTTATTTAAAGTTTGATATAATGTTTTCTTACAAATATGTAAAAGTAATTTGTAAGTTTGCATTGGATGGAATATGAAAAATATAAAGTACAAGTAGCATTACATTACCTTCAACACCATTCACGATCCTCAGTACCACACTATCTTCAAACTCTTCTTTCAACTCACAAGCTAGCTTATAACCTATGGTCTATCGATCAAATATATTTAACTGTACCAGACACCAACACAAAATTGGATGAAAGATCTTTCTCAGTTGTTTCTCTCACTCTATTAGAACTTACTACATCTTTTCATCAGAACTCAGAATTCATCCGTTTTTCTAGAAAATGTTTCTAAAGTTTGCAGTAGATTCCTCACAGCAACCTGAGCAGCATACTGTGTTAAAAGTCGGGTGTTATGTTCACATTATTTATTGTTATGATTAATATTAATTGTGGGTGCTGTAGCTCAAAGACCACTTGTATAACAGGGTTGGGAATCAAACTTGTTCACTTCGAAATATATATGTCTTGTTTATTTATTTACAGAATGCCTTCACCGGCACAGTGGTAGAAAACCCCGTCCATGGCGCTGGTGCAGCAGAAACACACGCAGCACCTCCAACACGACCTGTGTCTAAGTTCCGTGCCCAGAGACAGCAGCGAGGTGGAGCCAGGAGGTAGCACACAGTCCAAGACAATATGCTGTCACTTGGAAATGTAAAGACTGAACAGTGAGATGGCTAAGGTACAACTTGATGCTGATGAATTTCTCGCAAGACAATTGTGATTCTGTTCTGGACGTGGTTGTTAGTGGTTGTTATTGGGTGTTTGGACTCAAGATGTTATTTGAGGATTGTTGCTTGAATCCAAATCCTGAAAGTGAATATATTAAAGCACCTGGAAATGAAGTGATTTATCCATGTGTCAATTACTGTTGAAGTATCAAGGACACCTTGTCCTTCTCTGGATTGTTGAACAATTTGAGGAAGATTGAAGAAGTTACATTTTGCTGATATTTTATGTACTGTTTTGTTATTTATAGTTAAGTTTCTGATTTAATCGGGTGGCCCTTGTATGGACCTGGGTCAGAATAGGTTCCCAGCCACCTACAAACAACCAACAATCTGGGTCTAGTGGTGAGACCACGTGACTTTGTCGATATTTTGTCCATGTAAGCTGGTGAGACCACTTTCTTACATTGTGAAATTACACATTGTGTATTTCATAGCTTTCGGACGTGGGAGCTGAACCAATTTACACTTATCAGAGGGGTACACAAAGTACGTGTTCTATAATACCAGTCAGACCTCCATTTTTTTGGAAGCTACGCTGGCTGTGTGGGTTAGATGGCTCACTTTGTGTGCTGGCGATTAGGTGTCTGACTCTGAGAGTGTGGGTTTGATTCCTGGATGGGACTCAACCCCAAATTAAGTACTAGAATCTGTACTTTACTCAGAAATTGTAATCCCATATATAACAAAAGTTGCATTTGACCACTTTCTAAAAAGTATTGTGGGAATATATTTGTTATCCGTGGTAACTGCCTTCTTTCAGTACATTTAGTAGAATAAAAGTCCTTAACATTTTTGTCAATATGTAACTCACAAACAGAATATGAATATGATAACATCTCAGAGATGTTTGAGTGCCAGGAATGTGGAAAATAAAAGAATACATCTTAAAATGTGTTTGTTTCCCATGTCATGACTCTCCCTCAATTACAATAGCTAAAGATGGGATTATTACACAGATGTGGGTCTCACTATCATATTACTCTCATGGTAAGAACTGAAAGAACACAACATGCTTCCTGTATGTCGATGTTTGTTTTCTTGACTATGAAGCACTTTTTTAACAAATAGGAGTTACTCAAAGAATGATAATTGTTCATTGTCATGGTTTGTGAGTGAGTAAATATGGTTTTTCACCACTTCTAGTAATAACCATTCTTTGTATCTGTACTTAAAGGAGAATACGAACGAAAACAAAACAGAATTTACCTTTAACATTTTAAAGTGGGAGACACTTGATCAGTGGATTCCAATATTTTACTTCTTTTCAAGTACTGATAGGTAGTCTGGTTGTTAAAGCATGCGCTCGTCACGCCGAAGACCCGGGTTCAATTCCCCCATGGATACAATGTGTGAAGCCCATTTCTGATGTTCCCTGACATGATGTTGATGGAATATTGCTAAACCTCACCACTTTTGTTCAATGCAACACTCTAAGGACACTCTACAGAATTTACCTTTAACATTGAGTTTTGACAAGGTTCCCAGTGCATACCTGATTGTGTTAGGACAAGAATTAGTTTCGTTATGCTGAGTTACAAGGGGAGCCTTCAAAACCTTTGAGAACAGACTCTCATGACAGAAGTCATAACTGAGGCAGGCTGATCCCATGTTGCATGTTGTTGTATCACATGACAGCTGCCGGCTCAATGTACTGTTATACATCAGTACTGTTAGCTGAAGTGTACATGGGTAGGGTATTAATGTCAGCCTCGTGACTGTAACCTTTCATCACCAGCCGTGAGTGTACTGTTATACAGTCACAGATATTAATGCCAGCCTTGCTACTGTTAGAGTTAATGACTTAAAATATAACATTACATTGCCATTATTTCAACAGTATAGCAACTGTCGCTATTAGAACGCTATTACATTTAACATTGCATTGCTTAACTATTAGAGAGCTATAGCCCCATATCACCTGCCACCAGTGGTACTGTTATACAATGTTGACAAAGATATCAGTGGCCTCCTGATACTGTTATTAGGAAATATGATACTGTTGTATTACCTCATATCAATTGTTGTACTATTGTACAAGGTAGCCATAGAGATATATTAACCCTAGCCTTGATACTAGTAGTTAGATATAACCTTGTATCATCTGACACTGTTATACAAGATAATTGCAGAGATGTTAATTCCAGTCTGGTACTGTTAGGAAGCTATAGCCTCATATCACATTTCACTTGTAGTACTGTTATACAAGATAGTCGCCTTGATATGAATTCCAGTCTGGTACTGTTAGGAAGCTATAGACCAGTAGAACTGTTATACAAGATGGTCACCATTATATCAATTCCAGCCAGGAAGTTTATTTTCCTATTTTGGTGATTTTTGTTCTGTGTTGGTGTATATGAGTTCAGTTTTGAGGATGTGTTCACCGTTTGTATGGTAGGCCTGTGTTAGGAAGCTATAACCTTATGTTGAATTATCTCATATCACCTGCCATCTCTACTACTGTTGTACACTGTAGCCAGGGTATTAGTGTCAGCCCTGGTGCTGGGCCCTGTTAGTGTCCTGTGTACATCCTCCACACCTACTGGTGATGCAGAGTTACATACAGCCACGATGTGTATGTCTCTTAATTACAGGATGCTGGATGCTGATGATGGTTACAGGGTTAATTTGTTACTGGCATGAAATATCTGTGTTGAATCATTCTCTGATTCAGTTTGTGCAGATTATTTGGTTAATGTTATGTTTTGGTGGAAATATGATAAAATGAAAGGTGAAACTTCTCCAACAAGTCAGTCAGAGTGGAAACTTTGCTAAGTATATGAGGACAGAAGGCATGCTGACTCTTATGATCTCTCAGAAGAACACATTTTTTAGAGAAAATACAATTCGTAAATTGTCTTATTAAAAATAATTCAAAGAAGCCTAGGTACTCTTCATTTTCAGAAACTGCAGTAATCTAGATTTGCCTACTGTTATAGATTTGCATAGGCTGTATTGTCTATATTGCTTCTGGGTCCGTTGACTGACCAGCTCTTAGTTGATGTAAGGAAGACAGATTCTTTGAAAGTACAGATTTCAGAAGGTTAAGACAGAAAGTTGTAGGATTAGAGTAAGATGAAATATTGTCATTCATTGTTTATGCTTTTTATGTCCTCCGTTGTCCTCTGTTGTCCTTCGTTGTCCTCTGGTATAGTAAGCTTGTTCAAGAGTTTGTTCAGCACACGAGGGACCTGTGTTTGAATACCCGATGTGTGAAGTTGATAAAGGATCATACGTTTTGTATGAATGTCTTTACCATTCTTTTCTTAAAACTAGATGGCAAAATAATCATATGAAAATTATCTTCAATCAAAGTCAGAAGGAGCAGTGATTTTTTAGAATCATTTAGGGAATATGACCTGCTGATACCCAGTGTGTGCCGTCTCGACACTACAAGCTAGGACGTATTGTCTCCAAGCAGGGATTCTGGGTTAGAACTGCTCCTCAGCAACCTGTGCTTTTCATGAAGCGATTTAGTGGAATAGGTGGTCAGATGCTGTCATTTACAGTCCACTGTCATATATTGCTGAATGCTATATGAAACAAGGAACAAAGTTCTTGAAATTTGTGAAAGGCATTAAGAAGTTGGACGAACATGAATACATGACATGTTTTATGGTTAACGACTTCTTTTTATTCTGGGGCGGTGGGGTAGCCTAATGGTTAAAGCGTTGGCTTGTCACGCTGAAGACCCGGGTTCGAATCCCTATATGGATACAATGTGTGAAGCTCATTTCTGGTGTCCCCCACCGTGATGTTGCTGGAATAATGCTAAAAGCGGCGTAAAACCAAACTCAGTCAGTCTTTTTATTCTTTATAGGACGTTTCAGAGCTAATTCTGTAGGAGCAAAAATTAGTTCTGAAATGTCGTATAAAGAATAAAAAGACGTTAACCATAAAACGTGCCGTGTATTCATGTTCATCAAGGAACAAGTTACACAGAACTGTATGTATCCCACATTCATATTCAGTTCTATCTGGAACATTATAACATGTTGTCTCTAAAATTAAAGTACTCTTAGATTGTGTGAATAGAAAAAAAGCACAGATAACTGTTTTCATTGTTAATACTTCATTGCTGAAGAAATCAGTTTCCAATTATTATGGACTTGAATGAAATTCCTTTTGATATTTTTTTAAGAGTCTTTATGAGACTTGTATTGAATGTGCATTTTTTAGGCTAATATTGCAAGAGGAAATGTAACTTCACTACTTTAGGCTTTGAATGGTGTCTAATGTTGAAGGCTTCAGCCAAATGTTGATGAACGTTGAGACAGACAGGTTTATTGCGTAGTAGGAAAGTATTACACAGGAAAAGAAACTAAATCTGTCAGTGCTGAGACCAAGCTTTGGAGCAGACTGAAACAACAATGCATGCATGTAGACACTACCCCAGACACCATTGTCTAACCTGACGTAAAGCTAGGCTGAGAGTTGTGGGTAAAGACACCTATTGAAGAGAAAGGCCATGAAAGTGATCTAACATATGAAGAGATGTATAGGAATGAATGCATCAATTGTTGATGGATCTGAATACAAGAAAGCTTCCAAATCTCACACTCTCTGCTTTCATGTAAGGGACATGCATAACAAGTTGGATAACATGAGGGGAAGTCAGTATTCAGAGATAGGTGCCACAGGGTATAGCATTGTAGAAAGAGACGGTACTGAGCGTGGATAGGAACGTTCCAGATGAATTACATCCGTTACCCACTGTTGAACAATACCCAACATGCTTAGCACACATGGTATAACACCAGCCCCAATCTAATCAGTTTTAATGAATCCTAATCCACAAAGGTTCTGGTGAAAATTGGCGGGAAATTTCTTTTGAGCAGACGACACATCTCAGCTGGAAATGGAAGCTTTGTTGAGAACAATGCTCTCTAGGTGTATAACACTTTGACTGTTTAATCAGCCCAGTGTTTGTTAATCTACACTCAGTAGCAGCTAGGGAATTATTTTGGCGGGAATTTCTTTGAAAGCAGACAACATTTTTCTAAAAGAAGAGGAACACTTTTGTGAATGGTCATTGGTCTATGATGGTGGTACATAATACTTTGGACAATCTAATCAGGCTTAATCAGTTTTAATCCTAGTTGGGAGGGGTAGTTTGGAAGTAATTCATTGAAGCAAATAACATTACTTTTAATTGTAGAGACACTTTTGTATTTATCAGTGGTTGGTCCTTGACATTTACCATCAGTGGTCATTTAGGCTGGATGTAATGAAATTTGGGTACATTTTGAAGCAAAGTCTCTCATTTTCTCAGTGAAGGGACATTGTGTACAGTTAATGAGGATTTATCAGGATGACAGTGGGTGAACTGTAGGCCATGGTGGAGCATGCATAGTAGGAAAGATTGCATGGTTATATGAAAGGAAAAAAACAATAACTTACAATACTAATGCAATACAAATGTAACATTAAGTATGATCTATTTTAGCTTTGATGAAAATGATAATGAGAATATTACTTATTTTGTATTTTTAACCGACACACTGTTTTGATAGGAAAAAGAAATATATCCTATCAATTCTTGTGTAATAGTAATGTTTTAAAAATAACATCTTGTGATAGTGCGATAATATGATAGGATATTTTCATCAGAACTTAATAAATTTTCCTGATCAATATGTGAAGTGGGAAAAAAATGAATGTTTAATGTCTGACAAAGAAGATATTACAATACGGGTTAACACATGTATACAAGCAAAAGCATGTTATAGTCTTTTAAATCCAGCGTTTGTTTCATATAATTTACCTGAATGAAATTGGCTGGGCTCGTCCATTACACAAGGAGATGAACTGGTCTATACTTACTGAGATATGCCTGTGTGTTGTACGTTTAGGTGTACAACTGGACTGCAGAAATTGACAAGATAGATAATAT